GAGGTGTGTTATCTCTCTTCACATAGAGTCCAGCTGCAGCTTCACCGAGAAGTTGGTCCCTCTTCAAAAAAGGGGCCTGAATAGAACAATTATATTAAGAAAAAATGAGATTGCAATCAAACTGTGTGCAAAGCTGAGAAACTGACAAAAGATTATGTTTAAAAACAGGAACAAATAAGACATTATGTAATTCTAAATCTGGCGTAAGAAATAAACTACCCATATAATTTACTTTGACTTGATAGGAATTTGGGAGACTTACTGTCACCGAGATAGAAAGAATGACAATATTATGCAAAAGGGTTTTATTATAGGTCATATGTTGGGAGGCTCCAGAATCAACTATCCAAGTATTATGATGTAACTTAGAATAGAAAGAGGTAAAAATATTATAAGTGTATTGCATACCGCCCAGATTTGCACTGGCAGTGATATTAGGAGTTGATGCTCCAATTTCTTCTTGAACAGTTTGGAACATCTGAATCAATTGGTCACATTGTGCCTTAGAGAACCCTTGACCAGAGATGAGATTAGAAACTGTATGAGCACCAAGCCCTATAGTGTTATCCTGCTCTCCAATAGCACTGTTGACAGATTGGTTAGGAAAATCTCCCTTCCTAGTTCTATTAAACTTATAATGAGTAGGGTAGCCCACCAATTTGTAGCATTCTTCTTTAACATGACCTGATTTTTTGCAATACTTACAAACTTGATCGATTTTCCTAACATCAGTTTTATTGTTTTGAGCAACATTCTTGTATTCCCTTGCCTGTCTAGATCCATTTGAATTATGTCCAGCACTGTAAAAAGCAGAAGAGTCAGTACCAAGAGTATGTTGAGCATGTACCTCCCTTTGTGATTCTTCATGGAGAACAATGGAGTAAGCCTGTGCAGTTGAAGGAAGTGGTTTCATCATAAGTATGTTTCCTCGAACACCAGTGTAGACATCATTAAGACCCATTAAGACCCATTAAGAATTGAATAAGTTGTTGATCCTCATTCATCTTAGCGTTATGTGATTTTGCTCCGCAATCACTATCACAACGACAAACCATAAAGGTATTGAGCAATTTTAACTGATCCCAAATTCTCTTAAGTTTAGTGAAATAACTTGCAACATCTGAAGTCCCTTGACTAATATTGTTGAGATCTCATCTCAGTTGAAACAACCTAGCACCATCTGCTTGTCCATAGCGTTCCTCAAGTTCAGTCCACAAATCTTTCGCAGTTTGAGAGTAAATCACACTCTCTGAGATGTCTTTGCTAAGAGAGTTGAGAAGCCACGCAATCACCATATCATTGCATCTTTTCCAATGATCAAGCAAGGGTGAATCTGGATCTGGAGATCTATAACCTTCAGTGATAAAACCTAACTTATGCTTGGCTGAGAGAGAGAGATCAAAACACCTCTGCGCCAATTTCCATATCCAGTACCATCAAAAGTGACATTGAGCAAATTCATACCAGGGTTATCTGATGGAGCAAGATAATAAGGATGTCTTTGATCCACCAAAACAGTAGGAGGAGCAGTCTTAGCTACAACTGTAGTAGGAGGAAGTGATTCGTCACCCATGGAGATAAAAAATCGAGTAATAAGAACAGACTTATGAAAGACAAGAGAAAACAATCGTATACAGAGCTTCTAGTGTTGCTCTGATACCATGTAAAACTTCAAAGAAAAAATGATATGCAAAATTTTTCTGTATTGCTCTGTTTCTATCCCTGTACATTGTTACTCTATATATACAAGTGTTGGACAAGTATTAGACTCCTAATTGTAATTGAATTCCAACAGACTCCTGATTGTAACAGAATCCTAACCAACTAAATATAAATAAAACTAAACTAATAAATAGTTTTGTGACTAATGACACAAAACTCCTTATTCAATTCAATTCAAGACTTCTGCGTATCAACGGTAAGATCCAGCATCATTGTCTTTATTTCCTTTCTCTTGTATTGTTGCTTGAGAGCTATTGGCGAGGAGCTTGTCTCCGACAACAAAACCACGGAAACTTACTTAATACATAAAACATAAGCCTTATGCAAGAACTAATAATGACAAGGAAATCTGAAATAGACAGCAACTTGAAAGAAACAAAAATGGGAAACAAACCAAAATCCGGAAAAAAATGTGACTCAATAGAATCGGTGGGAAAGCCAAAATTAGAAAATGGAGTTAGATTTATTTAATATTTTATATATATATATTAGTCTCATAAATTCTAAAAAAAATTGTAATTGATTATAATCTAATAATTAATTTTTCTTTTTCAATTGATAGTATAACATTTCTTGTAATATTTTGTAAGAAAAACAAAAAACAAAAAAATAAAAATAAAAAATAAATATATATATATATACACACACATTATTGTACATTACATAACAACACAAATATTAAAATCTCTTTTATTGATTATAGTTTTTAAAACTTTTTTAATATAATCAATTTTTATATAAACTATCAAAATTATTCTAAAAGTGTTTAAAAAATAAAATTTAGACTGCTTCATTGAATATGCCAATTAGAGTATCTTTTTTACTTATATGATATTTCATAATAGTATTATAGTGATTGTTACCTTCAGAAGACATTCAAAGTTAAGACAATATTTTTGGACATTGGCTTTCTATCTTTGAAGGGTTTACCCACAGACCAGAGGGTTAGGGCTCTCACCTTCTTTTCAAATCAAAGAAAGAAGTTCGATTCGGGTCCTTTCCCACTTTCCCTTGTGAGGGAGGTTTGTGCACATGAATTAATAGTCAAAGTATAAGGAAGATGGCATAGAGCATAGAATGAGATTGATGCTTCGAATGCCCTATTTTTTGGGGTTGTGATAGAAGGAGCTGTGGCACTTTCGGAAGGGGAAATCAGACTAGGCTGCCACTGTTCTAGAAGAGGAAGTGTAGTTTAATTATTTGATAATCTGATTAGTTTGAGCTTGAAACGTCTAATAAAACATCTCAAAGAATTGAAGACAATCTTACAAAGTAAATATTAAAACATGGTTGATTCAAATTGAAGTGAATTAGACAAATTAAGAAATAAAAAGTAACTATAAATTTAATTGCCTACAATTTTAATTATAACTACACCTATAATAAACATTCAAAATCTTGCCTCTTGCTCGAATTTATTTCTTTTTTGTGTGTCTTTGATATATTTTCGTATACCATATTGAATTGTCCACATACTAGACATGCGTGAGACTGGGGTGTTAAATCTCACGTCAATGGGATGAGGAAATTTGGAGTTTAGTTAGGCCCGAGATTCATTTTATCTATAGTTGTGTGAATTACTTGAGTATATTCTTTATCATGTTTGAAATGAAATAATTTTGTGATGGTCTTATTGCAGCAAAACTTATTCTTTGAGAAGATAAAAGTAGATTACTATATATGGTGCAAAATGGATGATACAAGAATTATAACCTCTACTTTAGTTAGCTGATTCACCACGTACTGTCAATGTCTTCTCCTTTGGTGGAAAGTTCAAGGTATTTTATTTAATTGCATACCAATAATTTTATAATATGTCGTATCACGAATATCTATTTTTTGTACAGTAAATAACAAGCTGACACAAGAGTATTGGCTAAGAAATACCCAAACTTTCTCATAAATTGTGTTTGTCCAGGTTATGTAAAAACTGATATATGTTGCAATTGTGGCACATTAACTGTTGAAGAGGTGCTCAAAGTTCTGTTTGGCTTGCTCTTTTACCTCTACATTAGGAAAGAGCTCTCACCTTTCTAATCAAATTGAGAACCCCGCGATCATAGCTATGCTGCTCGATTTTTTTAAAAAAATATTATTGTATTCGTGCTGAATTTTGTAATAATACATGGTCTGTAGAGGATTCAACTTATTCGATCATATTATCGGAGCCGAGAAATATAGGTTCATGGAAAAAGTTATAGAGGAACATATTATAATGTATAAATTGTAAATTGTAATTTGTAATATACAAGTTAAAAAATTATTGGATTATCTATTGCATATGTCTTGTTTTTGTAATCAAAATTTTTAGAAACATATTTTTCGTAGGAAAACAAATTTGAAAATGGCTTTTCTATTGGAAGTGTAAAAAATAAGTTCCGCTAATGACATTTCACATTGATCTTCTATCAATAATTATCCAGTCAACATGAGTTGATTGAAAGACTAGTTTTGCATTTGTTGTATTTGTATAATCAATTTTATTATTACCTGTTATACTTTTACTACTGTCGTATTATTTGTTATTGTTACTGTACTTTTCTATTTTATTTGTAGCATGACATATTTATTAATGTTCCTTTCAATACTTGTTATTATGCTTATCTCGACCTACTTTTACAAACATTATTTTTTTAAACCTTACTAATAAAATTTCACTCAATATGTTATCGTTGTTTGTATCTGTGATTTGTTTATGACATTATGTCAATCTGCTTGTAGTTGGGATTTGGTTGCACTAAAGGACTTGCGACTTTTTGTATAGTTTGTAATATTGAAAATAAAATAAGAAGTAACATTATGAGTCCCACATTGAAATCATAATTATAAAACTAACTCTTGTGATCTTATTTAAAATGACAACGTCCTACATTGAAACTAGACTACAATATGAAAAGTAACTTTATATTCTTATCCATCATTTCTTTTTTTCCTATTAGAAAAGCACTTGAATACAAAGATGCTTTACTAATACTATTTTTTTTACATAAATTTATAAAGGATTTGAAATGTTTTAACAAAATCAACCAAAATTAAACGTGTATGCTCTATATATAGAAAACTTGTTTCACTTGATTAAAACTTTAAAATTAATTAATTGGATACTTCTAGACTAGTGATAACAAATTTCACTTTATTAAATCGAATAAAATACTTTTATCAAATCTCTAACAGGATCTTACTTCTGTTCCCTTGTGAAGTTATAAATGCATACACGTGGATAACCACTTTGTCATATTTTATATATATGTATATATATTATCTCACTGGAACTTGAGCTAACAAAGCAATTAGCTAAAAGGACAACCAAAACTATTCTCAATGGCAGAAGGCAGAGCCACAAAGTATTTTTCTATACCCTTTATTTGATTTATGTGTCACATTTTTCTTTATCTGCTTTATGTGTAAAAAAATGAAAATAATTTTAATTTTCTATTTTACCTAAGTAAAGGTTTTATTACTACAAGTTTTAAACATGTTTTAGACTGTAATTTTAAAAGTGTTTTTTTTTTTAATTTGGTGTCGATTCAAACTGTGTCACATAAATTGATGTGGGTGCAGGTATGCAGTAGTTACAGGGGCAAACAAAGGGATTGGATTTGAAATATGTAGGCAGCTAGCTTCTCATGGAGTGTTGGTGATTTTGGGTGCTAGAGATGAGAAGAGAGGGATTGAAGCTTTGGAGAAACTTAAAGGCTTTGGTTTGGCAGAAAATGTGGTGTTTCATCAGCTTGATGTTGTGGATAAATCTAGTATTGATTCTTTGGCTGAATTTATTAAGACAAAATTTGGCAGGCTTGATATCTTGGTATAATGTTCTTGATTTAAGTTTCTTGTTTTATGACCAAAACAATTTGGTAAAATGAACTGTTGATTTTGTGGTTTTTTTTTTTTTTTGATTAGGTGAATAATGCAGGAATAGCTGGAGTCAATGCAGATGCTGATGCCTTAAGAGCTAAACAGGAGTCCAGTGGGGTAACACCTTTTAACTTGAATCAATTATTCAATTTGTTTGTTTGATTTTGACTTATGACATAAGTTGCATGAACTCTTCACTTTTGTTGCTGCACCTATGTCGGATTCTCCAAAAATACACAATTTTTGGAGAATCCAACTCGCACTCGTTGACATTTTAAAGAGTTTGAGCAACATAGCTTATGACGGAGTTTAAGAAAATAAAAAGACTTTTGAATCTTGTGGTCTTAAACTAAAGATACGTAGAAGGTACCAAAATGACTTTTAATCTTGTGGTCTTAAACATGTCACGTGGAAAGTTAAAATTAAAGAGCTGTCAAAATATGCAAAAGAGCAAATAAATTGAAACGGAGGAATAACTACTTATGTCTTAATACATAGTGGATTGCTGAATGACAAATATCAAGTGTAATATCGCAGTTATGTTACTATTTTCATCAGGTTACTAATTGATGCTTATCATAGATATTTACTTGTAACTTAGTGCCTAATTGATTGTGCAAGAAGTTATCAATTGATGCTTATTATAGAGATTTACTTGTAATTACGTTATAATATAATGTTGTAACTTACCTGTAATTATAGTTACTGTCATGCATAGAACTTAAACTCATATCATAATATATATTCTATGACTCGTCTAAGAGAATTCACAACCCCGAAAGTTTATCATGATTAGGCACGGCACTCAAAGCAACTATACCAGATCTTTCTTTTTACTACATGTTTGATCAATTTATGTGCAACTTGATTTGGATATAGAAACCATGAAATTGGATTGAGGTTTCTGCTGTAGCCTGTACATAGTGATCAAGAAACCAGAACATGTCCTGTTTTATGAATCTATTAGGTTCTACAATCAAGCAACATGATCAGTAGCCATAACTCTCGCTCGCTCTCTCTTTGTGGAAAATTCAACTTTTGACACGTAACTTCATCGTTTGCACGCTTTATTTATTGTTCTCTGTGCTATAGACTGGAGGATCTCAAGTCAATTGGAATGACATATTGACTCAGTCATTTGAGTTGGCAAAGGAGTGTCTTGAGACAAACTATTATGGTGTGAAGAGAATGACTGAAGCATGTATTCCACTCCTCCAATTATCTAAGTCGCCGAGGATTGTGAATGTTTCATCCTCCATGGGAAAGCTAAAGGTAACCTGCCAACATTTCTTCAGACTTTTTGCAATTTTACCACATCTACATAGCTGCATTTTTCAGTTTACTGTGATTTAACTTTAAAACTTTTAGGCTTATACAAGCTTGGCTGGTGCAAATGATAAATTCTGAAGTAAATGTATGATTAAAAGTTTGAAACTACTCAAATCTGCATTTGCTTACTAAAAAATGCCGTTAATAAGATTGACAGACTCTGAGGAAGTCCTAACAGTAGTGGAGACTCATTGATACAAAACATCATCTGGCTATAGTCTTTTCAATTTTCTGTCTAAAGAATGCAGTAGATGAGATTAGGATGGAAGGGTTTCTTTCATTAACATTCAGTTACGGTGCATAGCTTCTTTGAATGTCCCGCTGATTGACTACTACATCTAGGGACAGGACTGATCCTGAAAGAAATGTCTTTCTTTATGGTTATGGAATCATCTTGATTGAAAAGTGAGTCGATTATGCCATAAGTCAAACAGGCGGGTGAGGCGAGAATCCTTCTCTGTACTCGCAGAGAGAGGATAACATATTTGGTCTTATCCCGTTATGAGTAGCCGAAGTGTGGGCCGGCTAATTCAGGGAAAACTTTCACATGTGCATAAGAAGACTAGGACATGTTTAATAGGCCTTAGTCGACCTCCGGAGAATAACAATTTTCATTTCCAGTCTGAGATTCTCTTTTTCATTTTCTTCTTTAAAATATGATGGAAATGTTTGTCTGCGAATACTTAACAATCACAGCAAACTTAATATACATAATGTAAATGATTAAGGTTCGTTATCAGCAAATTTGATAATTTCAATCTTATTTTGCGTGTGTTGTGACAAGTTTGTTAATCAATGTCGTTAATTAGATAATATCCATGAGTAGTGACTGAATTGCATTTCCAGAACTTGAAACATGAATGGGCTAAAGGAGTATTGAATGACAGTGAAAATCTGACAGAAGAGAAAATAGAAGAGGTGATAAATCAATATCTGAAGGATTTCAAAGAAGATTCACTTCAAGCCAAGGGCTGGCCTTCTTTAATGTCAGCTTACATAGTCTCTAAAGCAGCAATGAACGCGTACTCGAGGGTCATGGCAAAGAAGCATCCGTCTATACAGATCAATTGTGTCTGCCCTGGTTTTGTGAAAACAGATATCAATTTCAATAGTGGGATATTGTCTGTTGAAGAAGGCGCGGAGAGTCCTGTAAGGCTTGCTCTACAGACTGATGACGGTCCTTCTGGTTTGTTCTTTGATCGAAAAGAAGTCTCATCATTCGAATAAGAGTATGTTGTTAGTTGTGAACGCGCAGCTGATGATATAAGCCTATAAGGCCTAGAATAACATGTACTAATGAATAATCTTCAATTAAATGCAAATGGTATGTTGTATCAACTGCTCCTTAATTCTAAAAAAGTTCGAGGTTGGCTATATGAATCTGTCCATTCTGATATACTCTGTTTTATTCTGATTTACACAACTTTCCTGGAAAACAGCAGGCCTATTATAAGTTTTAGTTGCTCGGACTCTCTAAAAATAGTTATACCTATGTCGAATCCAAAAAGTAGTTGAGTTTGATCCTCAAAAGATAATACTTACTTTTTGGAGGATCTTGCTGGGAAAAATAACACACAAATAATATGCACAACATATAATAATAAAAAAAAGATTAATTAAACTATGATAATCAAAGTTAATAAAAATAGCATAATGACACCGAGAATTTTTACCTGAAAACTTTTATGAATAAGAGAAAAAAACCACAAGCCGATAGGGACAACCGATACCTGAGTAAAATACCGCAAAGACCATTGCACAATCAAAAACAATAACCCTCTTTCAATTTTCTATGTTATTACAATATCGCTCACACTCGTTTGAATGTAGATGTCATTGATTACATCATCTGAATTAATGCTAAAAGTCAAGTTGGCATATCTGAATGCATGGAAAACATGCGCACTTAGCTTGCCGCCATTATCATAATTTAAATAATCATTGATAGGTCTGGCCTTAACATGCACTCATTGCAAGAATTCAAATTACAAACTTACTCTAACAACTTGAGCATTAATTTATAAAATTTAGCTAAATTGTGCTTTTACATGGTACAGCTCTTCTAGAACAAGCTTCATGTAGGCAGATAGCATGTAAAATAATTGATTTAATAACTTTGATGGTCACTCAACTATCAACTATTTTAACAGAAAGTCACTCAACTATGACTTTTTTGCACAGAAAGTTACTCAACATATTTAATTATATTTTTTTTTCACTAAAATTTGCTAACATGGAATTTTTATTTTTAATCAAAATTTTAAGAACCAAATATTTAAACCATTTAATGACCCGCGCCCATTTAACCCGACCCGCTAAAAATATAATATTGAAATTTTTATTTAGGCATTGCATTTCTCCAAATCTTTCACGACTGCATAAAAAAAAATCATTCCGTGTCAGAAAAGAGCTTGCTTAATCTTTCAATCATGAGAGACAACTATATAGAGGATTTTGTTGCTGAGCTTTGTTTCATTAAGGATTACTCAATTTGCTAATGGATCATAATTAAAATAAGGAGAAGATTCTCTTTCACAATCATTGGAGCAGTAATCAGCCTTAATTAGGAATGGATCACAATGAAAAGCACAAGAAAGCATCCCCATTTAAATATATAGATGGATGTCAACCTTAGATATACTAGTACTAGTGTGAAAGCAAATCCCACAGTATTTCAACCATCGAACATTTTTTAGTAGACGGACAAATTGCCCTTATGAATCAGAGAGCAAGAATGACACAAAATTTCACTGTTGTATTTAGATAAAATGACTCAGTTGATGGGATGCCACTAAACCTTGTATCCTCACTGCCATTCACTAGAGAATAACTCATGCACATAGAGTAGAGGGTGGTGCTGAAGAAGAACACTTAGGAGAAAGAAGGAGACAATAGAGAATGATTTAGCGAATTAATAGTAAAATAAAAAGTTTAATATCATATTTTAAGCGGGTCGGGTTAAATGGGGCAGGTCATTAAATGGATATATATATTTGGTTTTTAAAATTTTGATTAAAAATAAAAATTTCATGTCAACAAATTTTAGTGAAAAAAATAATTAAATAGGTTGAGTGACTTTATGTGCAAAGAAGTCATAGTTGAATGACTTTTGACTTGAAAATAAAAGTTGAGTGACTTTCTGTGAAAAGAGTGGATAGCTGAGTGACCATCAAAGTTATTAACTCTAAAATAATTACAATATGGAAACTGGCAGACGTACTATACATTTTGAAATTCGTAACTAAGCAAGTTAGAATAACTAATTTTAGAGTGACACGATTCTTTTGCGTTAATTTTAGCGTTTTGAGATTCTATCTCCAGCCTAGTTCTTTAATTTGATTCCTTTCAGTTCCTCATCTATCACTACATGAATTTCATATTCATTATAAAAAAAATGAGAATACATGAATGCTTTAATTTGCAGGTTAACAACGCAGGGGTTAGTGGATCAATGGTGGAAGGAAATTGTAATATTCTTACAATAAAAGATTTAATAGAAGGAGATTTTGTAACCATTTCTACTGAAAATGAAGTAAGATTTTTCCACTTATAAAATTTCATTTTTTTATAATTTATTATATACATTATTACGTATGTACATATACATTAAAGTTGGTCGATACGTACAATAATTTAATTAATTGTGCAGGAAGAGGACGAAAGTGTTATGGAGAAATCAATTGAAGGTATCGTTACAAATTATGAGTTGACAAAACAATGCATAGAGACAAACTTTTATGGTGCAAAAAGGATAAGTGAAGCATTTATCCCTCTCCTTCAACTCTCTAATTCACCAAGGATTGTTAATGTTGCTTCTTTCTTAGGGAAGTTAAAGGTAATTAATTAAATATATAGTAATTTAATGACAATGATCTCTTATGATTACTTCGTTTTAATTATATATGGTGAGTTTAGCTTTTAGTCTATGATTTTTTACACCATTAAGTTAAAGGACATCGATTTATACTTTATAGTAAAAAAAAAAAAATACTATCTACATGGATTAGAGCTATTGGGTAATTGATTTTTTACACCATTAACTAGATAATTCAATTTGTTTGTATAATATAATGTGGGAAATTTTTCTACATTTTCTTCATCTTGTTAGTATCCTTATCATGGATTAGGGCTATTGGGTAATTGATATTGTACAATTGCTATTGAGTGATTTTCGATTTCCTACTTTTTGTACAGTTATTGTGCAACGAATGGGCTAAAAATGTGCTAAGTGATGCATAAAGCCTAAGAGAAGAAAGGGTAGAGCAAGTGTTAAATGAATTTCTTAAAGATTTTACAGAAAATTCAATTGAAGACAAGGGATTGCCAAGTTACTTTGCAACTTACAAAGTGTCAAAAGCAGCCTTGATTGCCTACACAAGACTTTTTAGGTTCAAAATATCCGAATTTTCGCGTTAATTCGGTGTGCCCTGGATATTGTGGTACAGACATGACTGCATATACTGGAAATTTAACTGCTGAAAGCTTGGTGAAACTTGCTTTGTTGCCTAATGATGGACCTTCTGGTCTCTTCTTTTATAGAAAGGATGTCACCTCCTTTTGAACATTTGGCTAGTTCAACTATCAATAATTGCTATGGGTTCGGAAAATTATAATATATATCGACTCAGAAACTGTAACGTTTAAATTCTTGTCAATATTTTCTTTAAAACATGAAAAGGATATTTGTCTTGGTAATATTGGATTGCACCTTTTCATTGGCTATAAATATAGGGGCATTGTTAATTAATGTCGTTAATTAGATAATATCCATGACTAGTGACTGAAAATTTCTGATTGCATTTCCAGAATAACATGTACTAATGAATAATCTTCAATGAAATGCAATTGTGTGTTGTATCAACAATTTTTATGTTACCTCACTAATGTTTAGTGCTACAAATATTTTTTTAGTCCAATCAAAATATAACTATTTAAGAAAATAACACAATATGAGATGAGTGATGACACTAAAATATTCAACAAAAAATAATAATGAGACAGCATAAAATAAATATTACAAATTAATAAGTCATAATGAAAATGATCATAATTTAAAAGTACTAAATCATGCTAAAATAAGTCTAATAAGTATTAATTACAAGATTAAATATTAAAGAAAAATAAAAATTAGATTATGTATTTTAAATGTCTAAACCATGTAAAACTAAGGAACATTTTCAACGTTATTGTCATTCTTAGTGTTGAATTTTTTATTTTTTTTGTTAGCATTAACATCGATTTGGAGTTAATATCTTAGAAGGTCACTCAACTATGATAATTTATTTAGCAAAGTCATTGAACTTCGTTTTGTATAAAAAAAAATCACTCAACTTAAAAATTTTATCTTCAAAAATCATTCAACTACATTTATCATTAAAACAAAAAAGATGATATGATAAAAGAAATTATTTTATATGTTATGTAAATATACATCTCACAAATAAACAATTTTTTTAAAAAAAAGCCATTACGATTCTTCTCCTTCTTAATTTATCATTAAACAAATTTGACATGAGTAACATTTTTATTTATTCTTATTTTCCCAATAAATCTAAATCAATTCAAATACAATAACCATCTTCTTCTTTTTTTCAAATCCATCTGTGATGGAGGGGTTTAGGCATCTTTTTTTTTTTCAAATACAATAACCATCAATTTTTCAAACCACAACATAAATATGGTCAAAACATGAAAGGGTCAACTAAATTCGAAATGAAAGATTAAAAAAGAAATTCATTTTAGTTAATTAACAAAACTTGAACTTGAAGGTGGGTTTTAGGTTCAAACAATAATACTCTGAACCTGTGAAAAGTGAGAGAGGCATTGGTTGGACTCCAAACAAGCTTCAAGTCAGAGTGATGAATGAATAATAGATGTGACAAAATAGATAGAATGATATTGAGTATGCCGTGTAAGCGAGAAGAGCCCAGAACTCATCAACCATAGCAACTCAAACATTAAAAATCTTCCAAGTCTATTTTTTAGAAGGAATTTTTGGAGACTAAAAAAGGAGAAGCATAATGTTTTTTCTTTTCTAATTTTGTTTATTTGTGGGGTTTATGTTTGTATGACATAAAAAAATAATTTATTTAGTTATATCAAATTTAATTTAATGAAAAACATAATAGAGTGATCCTTTTAGCCTAAAGTTGAGTGATTTTTTTAGATAAAAGCCTAAAGGTGGGTGATTTTATTGATATAAAGGAAAGTTCAATGACTTTACTAGGTAAATTCTAATAGTTGAGTGACATTTTAAGCTATTAACTCCATCGATTTGATTTTGAATTGAGTTTTATTAGAATTACTAATATTAATGGACTATAATAACATTTATTGGACCATTTAAAATTTTAAATCTCAAAAAACCTAAAAATATATTTTTAGATATAAAATAAACTTTAAAAATTATATATATAACATGGATTGATTTAGTCTCAGATTAAATTTTTTAATTTTTAAAATCAAACCAATTCAAACATAGTCAAAAAATTTATGACCAAACCATATCATTAGTAAAGTTTTTTTATTTGGCTCGATTTGCGATTGATTTTCAGTGTGATCACAAATGAATGGAGATGTCATTGATTACATCATAGCTGAATTAACACCAAAAGACAAGTTGGCATTTGTGTGCGTGGAAAACACGCGCGGCTTGCAATCATTATTACTCCTTCCGTCGTTCATTTTTAATTGTTATATTGCATTTTTTGAAAGTTAATTTTAATATTTTCAAAATTAAATTAAATTACATTAATTTGATATTTTAAATAAAAAAAATAGATATTCAAAACTATACAAAAAGTATTATAAATTACATATTAATATGATGAAAAAATATATCGTAAAATATTAGTCAAACTTCTTATCATTTGACTAAATAAAGAGAAATCATGACAATTAAAAATGGTTGGACGGAATATGATGTAAAAGTAGGAATAACAGTCTTCTTGTTCATTTTGCATGCATTTAATATTAATTGATGGGGTTGTAGCCTGGACCCTAACATGCACTCTGTCCTATTTTTAAACTAGATATGGGACCCCGTGTCAGCATGGGGCCCAATATATGTTACTGTTTTTGTTTTAATTTATGTGGTACATATGAAATTTGAAGTTAATCAATTTTTTAGTATGTTTTTTATATATTTTAAGTTGCTAATTATTTGTATTTAGAGTATGTTTTACGTAAATATATTAGAAATCACAATAATTAACAAGTTAATATAACCAAAATTGTCAGAAAATTAATTCTTCATGTGGGTTGTTGTATATGTAGAAAGGCACGTGTACAGTTAATGAGACACAATTAATTTTATAGTACAATTTGAAATGCTTTGTGTACAACATGGTAGTGCCGTGTTCGTGCTTTAAAGTGTCAACTCTAATAATGAGCCAAATAAGTAGTAATAATAATTCTAATAAGGAGTAATGAGTAATAATAATAATTGCAATGTTAGTCCTTCTAGGTAATGAATAATAATATATAATAATAATAATTGCAATGTTAGTCCTTGGTGTTAGTCCTTCTATTAATGTACAATTTTTTTTGCACGTTGTACAACTAATTAATGCAGTCAAAAGTTAATGTACAAAATTGTATGCATATTGTACAATAGTATTAATGCAGTGTTGGTCCTTTCCAACTCTCACTTCTAAATAAGGATAAGATAAAAGAATTCGAGCAACAAATATAACAATAATAATTAAGCATAAATTAATGAAATTTAGTCAAATTGTGCTTTTACATAGTACAGCTCTTCAAGAACAAGACTTCATGTAGGCAATTAGCATTTAAAATAATTAAAATATGCAAACTGCAGACATACATGCATTTTGAAATTCGTGAATAAGCAAGTTAGAATATTAATTAATGGTTTAAAAAAAGAATAGTGATTTGGGCAACTTGCTTTTTATATGTCAACATATATCAGTTCAACTGGCACTAAAAAAATCAGGAAGAGTGTTTAAGACTAAACACAAACAAATACGGTATGAATAATAGTCAAAGTGTTTATAAGTTGAAAAAATTAGTATATTTTATCTAAAAGGGAATGTCTGGCTTGATAAAAAAAAAATTGTAATACCCTTCATCTCATTTTATGTGGCACTTTTTGAATTTTAAGATACAAACAAGTCTATCTTTAATAGTAATTTTTTCATAGATATTTTAAACATTTTGAATTATCAATTATTGTGACTTATAATACATTTTACGTAATTTACAAATATATAAATTTTATTTCAAAAAAGTTGAAGATTTCATGCACAATTTCCCGATCGAACTTAAATTATCATTTTTTCACATCAACTTAAGCTAAAGTAGTAGTTGGAGTAACACCTATACCTATAAAGTTCTACTTTGAAGTAGGGTTAGCAGTTTAAAGAAAAATATTACTACAAAGTATGTTGATAGTGGGGTTCGACCCTACAATAATAGTATGAAAAATATTTTCATCGCTTTTTTGTACTATTGAGCTGTTAATTAATTTTATTAAGGAGCTCACAAGTTTTTTTTTATATATATATATATATATAATTTTCTAATATAAATACAAATCTTAAAAAAAAAACTTGTGGATATGTCCAAATTCATGAACTCCGCGGGCTCCACCTAACTTTGACACCGCGTGTGAGTGAAATATCCTTTAGAACATCATATTTGACATGCCTCGAGACGCGAACTAATAAATTCTACGATTGACAATCTGGACATGATAAATAAAGTAAAATATATATAGCCGGCTTCCATTATTATATAATTCTATCTTCTACACTACTTGTACCAAACGAATAGTCAATACACGGTTAGACCAAAAGGCTAAATATCAAGAATCTAGATCTAACATTTATCCTTTCAACAATGGCAGGGGAAATCAGCACCCTCCAAAGCACAAGGTAATTTAAATTACGAGTAGCTAATTTTTTTTACTATCAGTGTATATAACTTAAATTTTTTTGTGCATATCTGAGCAATACTCGCATATGGTATGATCAGGTATGCAGTAGTGACTGGGGGAAACAAAGGAATAGGATATGAAACATGCAAGCAGTTGCTAGCAAGCAAAGGAGTAGTGGTAGTGTTAACATCAAGAGATGAAAAGAGAGGGATTGAAGCTATTGAAAGGCTTAAAAAGGAGTCAAACATTACTAATAATAATGATCAGATTTTGTTTCATCAACTTGATGTTATGGATCCAGCTAGTATTTCTTCTCTTGTGGACTTTATCAACACAAAATTTGGAAGGCTCGATATTCTAGTAAGTAATATTTATCACTCCATCACTAAGACATACGTCTTATGTGTTTGAATTTTAATACATATATTCAAATATTGAGATATACATTAAGATTTAAATGTCTGGGGTGTTAAATAATTAAAACTATTTATTTTTTCATCATTTGAATGTATAAAGCTTATTTTTATTCAAAAAATAATAATATAAAATTAAAATAAAATACTAAATTAATCTGATGCTATATCAAATAAATACATTTAAGAAATTTTATGACCATTGGTGATGGTGATTGCTAGCTGTGGTGGTTGTGGGTATTGATTGGGGATTGTGTTGGTTGTGAATAGTAACTAGTGGTTGATGATGACCTATAATAATGGTTAACAATGGTAATTACATTGGTGGCTAATGATAATAGTTAGTGATAGTGGTGGCTAATATTGATAACTAATAATACTAGTGACAGATGATGACGATAGTTGACAATGATTGATCTTGATCACTAGTTATTTGGTGAATTGTAGTATGATAATTGATAGTGATGATTATAAATGATAAATCGTAATGATGATAATTGACTACAGTGATATGTGATTGTGACTGATATCATATAGCAATGAATGGTGATAGTTGATAATAATGAATCTTAACAATTAAAGGTGAAAGTGTCATTACAAAAAAAAAAAGTGAAAGTGGATGTAATAGTGGTAACAACCATTTGAATATGCATCTTAATATATAATATCGAAAGCTTGTTATAAATCTTAATTATTCATCTATTCATTGAGTGGGTTGTAAATAAAAATAAAACAAATATAACCACATTTAATTATTAAGATTCATAAAAATTAACAAATTCAAAGTGGAGACGATAGTACGGGTATGGATAAAATGGGAGAATTTTTAGAGGAATCAAATATTTAAAACTGATGTTGAACCAAATGATTTTGTTTATGGTTTTCTTAAGGGGTGTGGATAAAATAATAATATTACCTTTATTATTTATTATTTTTTAACGGGTATGTCATGTTAATAGTGGTTTGTTCAATAATAGTTGTCCTCTATTAACTTTGTACACTTTTCGAAAATTATAAATAGAAGAGTAATTTTATTATATCACTATTTGAATATAATAAATACAACGTCTTGAAAAAATGTAATAGAAAATTTACTATAATTAATGATAAGGATAAATTAGGAATTAAGTGTAAAACTATTTATTAATTTTATATAGTGAACAAGTATTATTAGATATCTCAAAATAATATAGTAGATAATTAGTGTTGGACGGAGGGAGTATAATAATATTTTCCTGGTAGGGTGTAAGATATATGGTCCTTGTCCTTGAGATCTACAAAATCAGGTAACAGGTAATGTGCAATTTATTATTTTAATAAACATTCTTTTCCTGGTGGAGATCAAGCTCATCGTATGTAACACAAAAAGAGTCAATTTTATATAGTGACGGCATAAAATATACAACCAAGATTTTTAAATATTATTCTCAATAAAACTATGTCTTGAAAATTTAACCTAGTATACTAAGGTTCCGAAACAAGGGTTCATTTAAATAACTAATTAAAGAATATAAAAGTCAAGCACACTCCATAAATTAGTTTGAATCGGAGAGAGTAGTATTTAACTATTTATCACTCAATAATGAACACGTAATCTCTTTCTTTTTGGTGGAAAATACTCTATTCGTCTCATATTAATTGATCATTTTCCTATCTCTCATCTCAAATAAATTAAATTTGTTTTAACCAAAAAAAAAAAAAAAGAAGAGATTATTTATTGTTTTTTCGAAATTCTACTTACATTATTTAATGTTAAGGGTAAAACATGAAAAAATATAATTATCTTTTATTGATATAATAAAAGTTATAATAAAAGTGATAAGTTTTATGAAAATATATTTTAAGAATAAATGACAGAGAGATGAGTATTGTTTGGAAACAAGTGTTTTATTTCTTCTAGTTTAGAAAGACTCCCACATTTAGCGACATTTTTCTCGAAAAAAAACTAGACCAAGAAATAAAATTTTTAGTCCTAATTAAATATGTGCACAACATGGACAACAAAATTAATATTGAAACTCTCTATTATGGAAATAATTCAAAAATCTATGTGAATTATTTTACCATGATAAATCACGAATTATTCCACTAAAAAAAACCGTAATTACACTTTTTCTGAATTAAGCTCTTTAATTTGATCCCTTTCATTTCCTCATCAATTTCATATTCTTTAAAGAAATGAGAAACTATGAATACTTTAATTTGCAGGTTAACAACGCAGGGGTTGGTGGATTAATGGTGGAAGGAAATCTTGTTATACTAAAAAATTTAGTTGAAGGAGATTTCGTGACCATTTCTACTGAAAATGAAGTAAGATTTTTCTATTTATAAAATTACATTTTTAAATTTATTATATATGCTACGTATGTAAACTTTAAAGCTGATCGATACATACAACAATTTAATTAATTAATTGTGCAGGAAGAGGACGAAAGTGTTATGGAGAAATCAATTGAAGGTATCGTTACAAATTATGAGTTGACAAAACAATGCTTAGAGACAAACTACTATGGTGCAAAAAGAATGATTGAAGCATTTGCTCCTCTCCTTCAACTCTCTAATTCACCAAGGATTGTTAATGTTGCTTCTTTCTTAGGAAAGTTAAAGGTAATTAATTGAATATATCGTAATTTGATGGCAATGATCTCTTATGATTACTTCGTTTTAATTATATAAGTTGAGTTTAGCTTTTAGTCTATGATTTTTTTACACGTCCATTAAGTTAAAGGTAACACGCCACAAAAAAACACGTAATTTTGTCATGCCCTAATTCATTAAACTTTTTCCAAAAAATAAAAATGGTGTTTCGTGTTGTCCATCCCATACCATTTAAATCTTCCCTGCTCTGCCCCATCATGTAGCTCTCACCCTATTTAAATCTTCGCCCCACCTCATTTGTAATTTCTAATCTTACACATCATTATCATAATCTTAAAGGAAAAAACAATTCCACTAAATGATATTATCTGTAGGTAGATAATTCAAACTAACATGAATCAGATTTAAATCAACTTCACGTCTATTTTTTTAAAAATAAATATATATGTGTTTGATATAATTAGATTGGATGGTTGTCAAAGTATTGTTCTTTACTTGTCAAATTATTATTTTTTTGATTGACTAAAGCAAAAGGCTCTACCATCTAATTTCAACATGGTATCCGACCAAGCAAAGGTTCTTGATCGAATTTCCATGTAATTAGGAGTATGAGTAATTAATATTGTACAATTGCTATTGAGTGATTTTCGATTTCCTACTTTTTGTACAGTTATTATGCAACGAATGGGCTAAAAATGTGCTAAGTGATGCAAAAAGCCTAACAGAAGAAAGGATAGACCTAGTGTTAAATGAATTTCTCAAAGATTTTACAGAAAATTCAGTAGAAGCCAAAGGATGGCCAAGTTACTTTGCAGCTTACAAAGTGTCAAAAGCAGCCTTGATTGCCTACACAAGAGTTTTAGGTTCAAAATATCCGAATTTTCGCGTTAATTCGGTGTGCCCTGGATATTGTGGTACAGACATGACTGCATATACTGGAAGTTTAACAGCTGAAGAAGGTGCTGAAAGCTTGGTTAAACTTGCTTTGTTGCCAAATGATGGACCTTCTGGTGTCTTCTTTTACAGAAAGGATGTCACCTCTTTTTGAACAGTTGGATAATTCAACTATTAATATGTACGTGTGAAAAATAAGGATACAAATTGAATCAGAAACTATAACGTTTAAATTCTTGTTGTATTCTCGTCAATTTTTTCTTTAAAACATGAAAAGGATATTTGTCTTCGTAATATTGAATTGCACCTTTTCATCTTAATACTCAGTCATTTTGGCTATAAATAAAATTTTGTGTTTGACTAATTCATTTGAAAAATGTACTCGGTTTCATCCTAAAGACAAAATGTAACAAACCGAAATCCTCACACTATTAATAAGAGCACTAGAACACTATTACAACTTTAAGATTCTAATTGCAATAATCAAACTACCGAATTACAATGGAAATATTGAAATAACAAGTAACTAAGGATAAGGATAGAGATAAGAATGAAGATGAGAAATTTAGACTCTAGAATTGGGGATGAGAACACAGAAATGCCTTTGCACATAATTCCTTTGATGCCCTCTGATAGTAATGCCCTAATCTATTTAACTACAACAAACGTACTCTCAGTCTGGATCCCAAATTATCCTTTGTGAAGGCATGGCCCGATTGCTTTTACTCGGCCCAATATCTATTTGTGTGATATCCTTGTTGGTATCCCTATTGGGCTGGGGCTGATTCATAACACAAAATAACTCTACATCTCAGAATTAAATAGTTCAAGGACACGCATTGAATTCTGTGAAGAAATGTTTAAAATTTTAGGCTTTTAGCAATGTGCTTCTGTCAACGCAATGACACTAAAAACAGGTTCAACACTAACAATTATATATAAAATGAAGCAAGTTATTATCTAGGAAGATGCTTAGTGTGTGTTTATCTAATATACAGAAAAAAAAAATATACAACAAACATATCCCCAAAATATTTGATATGTAAACTGCTGGCGAATATTTTGAAATTCGTTAATCATTATAATTATATAGCAAGTTGAATAATAGAGTAATGGTGAAGAAATGCTTAATAATTTAGGCTTTTAGCAACGTGCTTTTGTCATAGTAAAATAGGACAACACTAACATTGACATATATAAATACACACACTCTGCCTAAATAAAAAGAACAGAACACATAGCAATTAGCAAACAATCCCCATATCTAAAGCTAGCTACTTATATTGCAACTTCCAACAATGGCAGAAAAAATCACCAACGTCGAGAGCACAAGGTATATCTATATATTCACAAATACAATCGCGTAGTTATTTTTTTCTATGTATAATTTATTTTTTTGGTGAAGTTCTAAGTTCTATGCACTGATGTTGTAAATAAGTCATCTAATATGCCATCTATAAGAACTACGTTGCTAGTGTAGAAATTATTATAGTATCGATGTATATAATTTAAATATCTTTGATATATGGTATGGTCAGGTATGCAGTGGTGAGTGGGGGAAATAAAGGACTAGGATATGAAACATGCAAGCAATTAGCAAGCAAAGGTGTAATTGTAGTGTTGACATCAAGAGATGAAAAAAGAGGCATTGAAGCTATCGAAAGGCTCAAAAAGGAGTCAAACTTTACTAATGATCAAGTTTTGTTTCATCAACTTGATATTTTGGATCCAACTAGTATTTCTTCTCTTGTGGATTTCATCAACTCAAAATTTGGAAGGCTTGATATTCTGGTAACTACTATTTATAACTCCACCTGTTCTGTTTATATCAGTTCAGCAAAACTCATTAACTTTAACACATATTTTGTTTATGTTAAAAAAATTATGTACGAATAATTTATCAATTCTTTTTAAGAGTTTGCTAGAAGTAACTAAAATTGATAACTCAAAATCCCACGTTTACTGATCCAATTTGTGAAGTATTAATTAAACATATGATTTATAAAGGAAATATTACAGATTTTGGAGTATTAGTTAAATCATACGTTTAAGAAGAAGTAAATAAAAATTTAGACAAATACTCTTATAATTAAGTTTATTAAATGTCTTTCTCAGAAAATTGAACATTACAAGTTTCATAGCCATGTTATTAATCAAGTTGCAAGGATTTAATTAAATTATATACTCTCTTTGGTCCATTTTACTTCTTGTCCTTATTAGTATTTTCTGTAAGGGACGCGTAGATGTTGTACACTATTCAGTTACCAATTTTATTTAGGTCCAAAATGCTTATTATGTTCCTTGAGATCTTACAAAAATAGGTACAACCATTTACTATAGCATTTCTTTTTTTTAAAAAAAAATAATTTTCCTTGTGAGGAAGATCATCTACTGTAAGACATAAGATCTTTAAGATCCACAAAAATAGGTAACATCCATGTGCAATTTATTTTAAAACATTTTTTCCTGTTACTGGAGATCAAAAAGATATCATTTTGTAATATACCCGATGGTGTAAACAATACTGACAAAATTATATTCTCAATTATATATAAATTTAATTTAATAACATTTTTAAAAATATTTTCCTAATTGTTCAGAGAAATAAGAAATTATGAATTTATGCTTTGCAGATTAACAACGCAGGAGTTGGTGGATTAATGGTAGAAGGAGATGTGCTTGTACTAAAAGAGATAATAGAAGGAGATTTCTTAACCATTTCCACTGAAAATGGAGTAAGATATATATATATATATATATTCCAATTCTAATATATTTTGTAATCTAATTTTATGTTTACATCTATATACATTAAATGCTAGTTACAATATCCTAACTATTAATTAATTAATTAATTACTATGTAGGAAGATGGAGGCACAATGAAATCATATCCTGAAATTGTAACAAATTATGAGTTGACAAAACAATGTGTGGAGACAAACTACTATGGTGCAAAAAGAATGATTGAAGCATTTGCTCCTCTCCTTCAACTCTCTAATTCCCCAAGGATTGTTAATGTTGCTTCTTTCTTAGGGAAGTTAAAGGTAACGATACTTCCGTTATTATTTTATGGGAAAAAGGACAAATATACCCTAAAAATATCGTAAATATCGTTAGAGTGAAGGACATATATGTTTGGGGGTATATTTGTCCTTTTTCCATTATTTTATTCCTCTATTCTGCTTTGGACTATTTTTTTTCCCTGACCTTAAGGTTTATTAGAAAGAGTCTCTCTAGTGATAGTGATAAGATTTGCGTACAATTTATTGTTTCAGATATTAATTGTTATTCTCTACAGTTATTGCGCAACGAATGGGCTAAAAAGGTGCTAAGTGATGAAAAAAGCCTAACAGAAGAAAAGGTGGAGCAAGTGTTGAATGAATTTCTCAAAGATTTTACAGAAAATTCAATTGAATCCAAAGGATGGCCAACTTACTTTTCAGCTTACAAAGTTTCAAAAGCAGCCTTGATTGCCTATACAAGAATTTTAGCTACTAAATACCCGAATTTTCGCGTTAATTCGGTGTGTCCTGGTTATTGCAAAACAGACGTAAACGCTAATACTGGGAATTTAACTGCTGAAGAAGGTGCAGAAAGCTTTGTGAAACTTGCTTTGTTGCCAAATGATGGACCTTCTGGCCTCTTCTTTTACAGACAAGAGGTCACTTTTTTTTGAACATTTGTCCCATTCAACTATTTCTAATTGTTTATGGATTCGATAGAATTCAATATTTCGATATTTTTAGCCCTATCTACATGTGAACAATAAGGATAGAGGTTCACCTTAGAACTCACTCTATCAACTCATCAGAAATCTTATCGTTTAAATTCTAAATTTGTTATGTTTAATTTGCTTTTAAAGGATTGCATTTCTTCTTCCTTATTTATGGGATTAATTATTTTGATATAGCTTCTTAATTGTCATAATATACTCTATTATTTCATTATATTACTTAGGGATGATAAGTTAATTAAATACACTAAACATCACTAATAATATGATTCAGGTTCGGATACATTTTTTATACTTGCATCTTAATTTATGTATTATGAAATTCCTACAGTTACACACCTTATGAGGTATATATATGTAACTAAGTATAATAGAATATAACTTATAAAAGACAAATTTAAATTAAAAATAATTTTTTTATGCATTTAATTTTTATGAAATTTAAAATAGAAAATAAGTATTTTATTTTTAAAAACATTCAAGCCTTTGATTTAAACGTAAAAGAAAATATATTTTTTTGAAACATATATGTAACTTTCAAAAATAACACACATTATTAAATTATACTCTACTTAATAAGAAAAACATATTCAATGGGATTCTTCCATCCTTAGTCAAGTCATAATTCATATCACAATCATCATCACTATCAACGTCAGTACATAATTTTTAAATCATCCATGTATATCAAAAAGAAAAAAATTATCTGTAAAGATTTCTAATGTTACGTTACTAGTTAAGGTAGATGAGGACATCTAGGATGATCAACAAATTTATATTATCGATATTGCGTTAGTATCAAAGCAGACTTTTACTCCCACATTATCAAGATTGTTATTATTATACATATACTATCTTATTCTTTGATATTATTATTATTTTTTTTTATTATTATTATCATATTGAAACAGAGGAGTTATAGGTCAAAGATGAAGCCGAATAGAACTTTTGTATTTCTTAAAACTTCATTAAAAGAAAATAAAAACTACATGTGTAAGGAAAATAAATTTGGTTTAATAGTTATACAATGATACAGTTAATCCTCAAGCAAAGACGAATTCAGAATTTGACATTTGGATTCCTATACTAAAAAGAGACAAAAATCAAAATAAAGACATATATGGTGGGTGGTGAGTGGTGACCAAGGGGTAGCTAAGCTTAAAAAGTTTCTTTTGTGCTATTGGACAAAATAAATAACACTTTGTTTGAATTTCTAGTCCTTTTTCTTATATATTTATTGAATTTCCCAATACAAAAATAGAATTTGTGCTAAACTTGTTGAGTTCCCATAAACCCCTATTCAGTGGCCTAAGTTCGTCTTGTTGTCAACAAGTAAGTATGTAGCGAATGTACATTGTGCATTAAGACACAGAATATCTTAATTTTAAGTGACATGTCTTATGGTTAATGTGGATGTACAATGTGCATTAAGACACATAATCTCTTAATTTCAAGGTGACATGTTTTATGGATAATGTACAATGTGCATTAAGACGCATCTCTTAATTAAGCTTTTTTCGAACTCTAGAATCAATACCCTTTGAAATAGATACCAAACAAAGAATTATTTTCAATTGATAAACCTTTCACAAGTGATTCATTAAAGTTTATGAATGTGATACCATTGTATTAAAACTCTGTTACGTTATGTTCTACTTCTCAGACCAATCAACTTTTAAATTAAACTTTCTCCATGTACACATACTCATTACAAGTATTGACACATTTATGATTTAGTATATGGAAAATTTTACAATGAGTAAGGCACAACTATGGCCAGAATATAATCTTTTTTTTTTATCCACATTATCTCAAAAATGAGACTAGTAAAATCTTTTTTAGATCCTAAAACTTTTGAGTCACAAAAATTTATGTTAAAAAAAAAAACTACATACTTTCTAACAGAAATATTAGAATTTTGAGTTAAACTATTCAAATCTTTGTAATAATAAATTATTTTTTTACAATAATATCCAAGGTAATATATTGCAAATACATGACTAACATTTTATTGAATTTTTATGATTATAAATAATAACATTTACTATGGATATAAATGCATTATGTCTATAAGAATACTACACTAAAAATAAATAACAAGAATAAAAAACTCTAAATTAATATTTATAATTATTTTGATATTGAGTCTTATAGTAAAAAAACATCCAATTTTTTTTTTGGTTGTGCTCAAAAATTTTAATTTGATGAATCAACAACGGCATTTCCCTCAAAAGGTTGCTTAATCTTTATACATAACGAGAATAAATGCGGTAAAATTTGATTTTGTCTAAGATATACAAATTTGTGGGGAAGAGAAATGAAAAAAATAGTCAATTAAATATTCTATTATATTTAATAACTTTAACATAGTTGGGAGAGTTGGCAAAATAGCCACTCTCCAAACTTAATTGAACATTAAGACAAAAGTCCTGAACAATTTGTGGTATACCACTATTAATGACATCATCCATGTGCCCTAATTGACACATACAAAAGACCTCACTAGGTTTTCATATCTCCACTATGATCCCCCTTCTTTTCCAACTAATTTGGAATAATATATATCTATTTGCATTTTTAAAAAGTTATATTAAAAACAAAGAAAAAAACCAAACGATAAAGAAGAGAGCAACTCGTTTTTGCTGTTGTCGAAAGTGACGATTCCGGCGAGTTTTCCAGCCAAAATATTCATTTTCAAGGTAAATCATCATCATCTCCTACTCCATCTTCATTTTTACTCCATTTTCTTTCAAAACCAAGTTTCAAAATGATTTTTCCGCCATTTTAGAAATTTGAGAAATCTTCCATAATAATCAATTGATAACTCATTATGGATTCATTTTAATAGTTTAAAAGCATTAAAGATCTGTTTCGCCATTGCAGGAGCTGCATTTTGAACCACAATCTCATTCAGTAGTGTTTCGGTACGGATGTCAGACGTCATCGATTGCTAACGACTGATATTGTAATCTAGTATATATCTTTGTAGTCGATAATGGCAGTAACTGAATTTGTTGGTGGTGGTGGTGATTATATGGGAGTATGGGAGGAGACTCTCAAAAGCTGGAATTGGAAATCTTTTAGTAAGACGACAGTGCCCATTGCGTTGCATCGCAATGGTTCATATGACGATATGATTGCAGGTGTAATTGAGGCCGGTGAGTTAACTTGCGAGCCAAATGACTTGGTAGCTATCAAATGAATGGGAGGGGAAACATACATCCCACATTCATAAAAAATGATAGGCACGTGAGCTTGTACATGTTAGATATTGGTATTGATGGCTCTAGGCCTACATTGAGAATAAACGTCAATGCGAGGCCTCCAATTGAACCAATTAATTCATTTAACGGCGACAATGATTCGATTGGAAATGAAAGATTGGGTGATCATTCAAAGGAAATCTTGGGTGATAATTCAAATGAGAGCTTGGGTGATCATTCAATGAATATACATGATGATCCAACTAATGTGGAAAATCAGCCGGTAGATGCGAAAGATCCCAAACCCAAATGTTGTGAAGAAATGTAGGTACAAAAGGAATTGGGATCACAATCCAATCATTCCTTCTCCGATGGAACTAATTTATGTATAAACCAAACTTTCAGTAACAAAAATGAGTTGCAATTGTTATTAGCCGAAGCAGCGGCAAAAAAGTCTTGATTTTGCTACTGTGAAGAGTTGTACTAAATACTTAAAGGTGAAATGTGTAACTCGCAATTGTGCATGTATGTTGTGGGCGAGGAAATATGAGTGTTCGGATAGATTTCGTATCTATAAGTACATTGGTAAACATAGTTGTGGCGTTGAACATGCCAACAATAGCCATAGAAAAATTTCAATCAAAGTGATTACTTCACTTTGTGTAAATATGTATCGTGATGGCAAGGGTCCAAATGTTAAAGAGATTCAAAGAGTTATGTTTAATTCTTTTCATTGTAGTCCAAGCTATTGGAAATATTGAAAAGGTGGTGTGGTTGCTAAAGAAATGGTCTGAGGGACAGCGGAGAACGGATATTCATGCTTACCGGCTTTTTCTTACATGTTCGAGACACTTAATGTTGGTTCTAGTTATTGTCCCATGGTAAACGAGGATAGTCATAGGTTCATGTATTATTTCTTGGCTTTGGTGCTTGTATTAAGGGATTTGCCCACATGAGAAAGGCAATTGCGGTTGATGGCACTCATTTACATGGTAAATACGAGGGCGTGTTGTTGAGCGTTGTTGCACAACATACGGAGAATCATGTTTATCCGATTGCCTATTATGTCGTGGACAAAGAGAATGATGCATCTTAGACATTCTTTTTTGAGAAATTGAAGGAAATTGTGATCGATGAACCAGATTTGTGTTTTATCTCCGATAGATACAAGAGTATCGCCAACGGTATGGTGAACGTTTACAATCAAGGTCACGGATATTATACGAAGCACCTCGGTGAAAATCTCTGCGTAAATCATCATTGTGGAGATTACCTTTATCTTTATAACAATGCGGCAAATGCTTATTCTTTGGAGGAGTTTGACAATCATTTTGTAGAATTCAAGAACAAATGCCCCGCGGCAACCATCGTCCTTGAGCATGATATTGGTTTTGAGAAGTGGAGCAGGGCACATTATCCTGGCAATAGATATGATGTGATGACCACAAATATCGTCGAGTCACTCAATGCTATGTTGATAGACGAAAAAGAGTATCCCGTGGCATCTATATTTAATTTGATTACTAAGAGGTTTGGAGAATTATTTAGGGAGAGGCATACATATATCCTCAAATCAATGGATAATCAAATGGTGTCAGCTGCGGAAAAAATCGCAAGAAAAAAAATGATAGAGGGCGCTTCCTTGTATGTGGAGAATATAATCGGGGATGGCAATCAATTTATTGTGTTCGGTGCGGGTGTTACTGCCTATGTGGACCTATTGGAAAAGTCATGTTCATGTAGGTAATATGACTTGATCAAGATACTTTGTGCTCATGCGATGGCCGTTTTGCGATCGAAGCATGGCAATGAGTATGGTATGAGCATCTATGAGTACTCTTCGCCTTTGTAGAAAGTTGAAGCGTACCTTCTTGCATACATGGATTCTATTAATGTTGTCCCCCTCAAGTCGGAATGGTGTGTTCCAGAAGAATTGCTTAATGTGAACATTCATCCGCCTCTTGTCGATACCAAGCTTGGAAGAAAAAAAAAAAAAAAATGTGTCAAAGGCATCGGTGAGAATTTCAAGAGCAAGAGAGGAACAAATGTTCAATTTGTAAGAGAATCGGACACAAGAGAACTACATGTGTGAACAACAATAAATCTTAAACAAGCTTGGTTGAATTTGTTTTTGTAATGAAGCTACTGTTTGTTTTTTGCTACTGTAATCGAGCTTCTGTTTTTTTTTTTGCTACTGTAATCAAGCAACTGCTAGCATTTTCGTCAATTTATTGTCCTCTATTATCGTAATTACTCATGATCTAATATAGATCAATCAAAAGATGACATACATTTTGCACACTGTCTATATATATATGAAAATTATTAATATATGAAAATGCATGGTGTTTGTAATGCAATGATTCTAATGCATGAATTAAAATATGATTAAGAATTAGAATTAGAATGATATTTGTGACTATTTTTAATGCACCAAATCAAACAATGCTTAAGAAATAATCTAAGTATAACTAATACAAGCATTATTTGCATATACACTCAACCAAACGAATCCTTAATGAATTGTCAAAAATATAGATGTTACCATTAAAAATAGTAGCAATTTGAACTTTTTTTTACCGTTGTAAATTTTGTATATCTAAATATTTACTGGTTATCAAAATATATGAACCCTTTATACAATCGATACATCTATATGTGTAAGGTGTATGTATGAGATATGAGACTTACACTCTGACTTTAGTAAGGTATATTCAGGTTTATATCTATGTTAACGCATTATCGTTACTTCACCAACTAGAATCTGACACTTATATATAGATCAAAACTAAGTAGAATTTAAAAAAGACAGCAATTAATTAATAATAAATTATATATTTGAAATTTATCCAATTAAATAAATTTAAACAAGTCATATGATCATGTAAGAGTCCACATAAATTGGGTGTGGTGATTAGTGATGTACGAGGAAGAATTGTGGTTATACAATCAACATCCTTAGAACAATGTTTGAGAAAACACAAGTATGTTGTGAGAATGTCACTTGTTCAACCACACATTGTTGATTGTCACCCCAATTTATATGGACTCATACATGATCACATGCTTATGTTGTAAAGATGTTGATTGTATAACCACACATAACTATTCCTCGTTCATACTTGTGCATTCTTCACACATTAGTTTGAAGATGTTCATTGTATAACTACAACTCTTTCTCATACATCATTTATCTCTACCCCCAATGTATTTGGACCTTTACATTACTTGTTTAAACTTATGTAATTTAACAAATTTTAATAATATTATTTATTATTAGTTAATCATTCTCCCTTTTAAATTATATTAGCTACAGTCTATATTTAAGCGTCATACTCCAGTAGGTGCAGTATAGAACATTTATGGATCATGATATCAACCCATATTTGCCTTATTAGTGTTGAAGTGTAGATGTCGTTGGTACAATCTAAATCAAGCACATGAAAAAATATCGACTGTCTTAAATATCTATATATTTTTACCAACAGTGACAATACTCAATTATCCAAGTTTTACAACGGTAACAAAGTACAAATTGCTACTTTTCAACGGTAACATTTGCTTTTTTTAGTGTATAAAAAGAAGAATTCATGAACTTTTCCATCCTATTCTATTTTATAATACTTAAACATCTCTTTTTATTATGTCTCAAGCATCTCAAACACCCAATGCAAAAAAATCTTACGCTTGTCATTGTGGTAATTTAGCTATGTTGAGGACGTCACACACCGATACGAACCCAGGTCGATAATTCTTTAACTGTGCAATTGGTGCATGCTCTTTTTTTAAGTGGCTTGAAAATGATTCATCAACGAGCATCCCATCAAAATTGAGTCTGAAACTCGAGACATCAAATTTTCAAGGCGTTACCAAATTTCAAATATTAGAAAGGCTTCGAAACTCTAAAGAAAATAACCAACCATTTCAAAAACCAATTGTCTTAAACCAACTTCAAAAACCAATTGTCTTACTCATCACCATTTAGCTCACTTAGAAAGTTACTCAACTAAGTATAATTTACTTAGGAATTCACTCATCAATTTTGTTTCATAACCCAAAAGTCAGTCAACTTATGATTGTTTACTTAGAAAGTCACTTATGTATTGATATTTTACCTAAAAAAATCACCTAATCAATTTTCATAAGGAAATAATTTGAACAAATAGAATGATTTAAAATAAGGAAATTTCCATATAAGTTTTTTTAACGTAAAAAGGGAGAAAATGGTCTAAAATCCCCCTAATCTATTACCCAATTCTCAACTACACACTTATTCTTTACGGGGGGGTCTTATTACCCCCTGAACATTTTAAAAGTATAATATATACCCCTTTAAAAATGCATGCCCAGATTTATCTGAAAAGTGATTTGCATGCGCCCTGCCAGGTAATATTACCTTTTTTTTAAAAAAAAAAAAAATCCTTTATTCTGCAATTATTTTTCATCTATATTTTCCTCTTTCACTTTCCTTTTCCATTACTCTTTTATTTTGATCTGACAAATTAATTTTTCAGATTTGAGGATACATTCTATTATTGTCACCATCATCTTCGAGCTTCACCGGAGTTATAAGCACTAGAAAAATTTTGATGCTCTCTATTGAAGCTAGAATAAAACAATGTTGAGAAACCCATTTCGATTATTGGGTGTTTTCCATTTAATGGGTTTTTCAACCAATGATTTCATTGATGAATTCTACTCCATTGATGGATCAACTACTTGATGATTTTTTCTCCATTAATGACCCTAAATTTTGATCCTCTTGACTTTCGATTTTGATTTTGAGTTATTGTCAATATTCGCACTAATGAGAAGTGAATTTACTGTGAGAAATTTGTGATTTGAGAATGAAAGTTACCTTAGGCATCTCCAATCCTATTCTCTATTTCACTCTTCAAATATAGAGTTCTCTATTTTTTCAGACAATCGACTTTAACCCAATTCTCTATTTTACTCTCCAAAAAAGAATATTTTTCTCTCTCCTCAATATTATATTATTATTTCTATTTCATTCTTATTTTCTTATTTCATAATATAAATCTCTTCTTTCTTTTTTTCGAAATAATCACTTTTATATAATTTTCATTTGATATAAAATTTTGTTTTTTCAAATTCTTTTTTTAATATAAAATTATATTTTATTCTAAATTTCTAAATAACATAAATTGGAAGCAAATATTATATAATATACAAATTCATGAACAATTCAAATAAAAGTGAAATCATTAATGAAAAATAATTATATAAGCAATATATAATAACTTTCAAGATTATTAGGTTGCTCACATAAATGCTCTATTAACACGTTATGGAGTTCAAAATGAGCATTTTTGTCCGTAATTTTTTTATGTCTAGCTAAAAATTGTTCAAATCAAAGATTTTCATCTACCACCATTTTTGTCGTTGCAATTGGAGCCTCTACGACATCTTGAATTGGTGCATTAAGATTACGTCCATCCTCGATTATCATGTTGTGCAATATAATGTATGTAGTCATTATATCATGCAACACTTCCTTTCTCCAAAAACGTGATTGTCCTACAATAATTGCAAAACGTGATTGTAAACCTCCGAATGTACGTTCAACATCTTTTCGGCTCGATTCTTGTTTCATTGCGTAATATTTCTTCTTTTGAGAACGTGAATTACGAATAGTTTGAACAATTGTAGACCATTTAAAATTGTGCATTATTTACAGTGAAAATTAATAATAAAATCAAATTATATTAAATTGATAAAAAAGGAATTAAAAAATTGAAATATTATTAATTCGGAATGAAAGTAGTAAATATTAAATAATATATATTTTTAAAAATATTATATTACATTTAAAAAGAATTAAAAATATTAGAGATTTAATTCATAGCCCTTTATGAAAAATAATATGTTAATTACAAAACAATAGAAATAATAATAAAATAATGAAAAAGTTAAATAGAGAGTGTGAATAGTAGTTCTCCAAATTTGGAGAACTACTATTCAACTCTCTATATATGGAGAATAAAGAGTGAAATGGAGGGTGGTTGGAGAGCTCATTCTCTATTTTACTCTCCAAATATAGAGAATGGAGAGTAAAATAGAGTGGAATTGGAGATGGTCTTAATGATGAGAGGTTAGTGAGGGCGGCGACCTGGTGGCAGAGCAAAGCCACCGCCTATGACTTTCAATTTTGATTTTGAGTTATTATCAATTTTTCACACTGATTAGAAGTGAATTTATTGTGAGAAATTTGTGATTTGAGAATAAAAGTTAACTTAATAATGAACAGTTGGTGAGGGCGACGACCTGGTGGTGGAGTAGAGCCGCCACCGATGTTGCTTTGACGAAGAGAAGAACAAAGACAATAAAAAGCAACTTATGTTTCTTTGATGAAGAGAAGAAGAAAGACGATTAAAAAAATTAAAGGAAACATAAAGATTTTTGAAGAATAAAAAAATTATAATATGAAATATAAGAAATACTTTTAAAATTAAAGTTTTTATTATTATTTTTACCTCTCAGCTACACTTTCTTTGCCACCTCATCATTTAGGGAGCAAATAATTCTACTTTAAAATAGTGTAAGGGGGTAATAGGACTCTCGTAATGAATAAGTGTAGTTGAGATTTCGGGTATAGGTTGAGGGAATTTTAGACCATTTTCTCCGTAAAAAAGTAATAATATGTCTAAGTATCATGAGTTATTACGTAAAATTCCCTAAAATAAAAGGATCTAGGTGAATATATATTTGATCATAATTTTAGCTAAGCGGATCAACAAAATACTTAAAATGGGTATTTTATTGTTTTTAATTAAAAATTTAGCTTAAAAGAATTTTTTTATTTTAACAAAATTTAGTGAAAATTATTTAAATTGGTTGAGTGACTTTCTAAGTAGACTATCCAACAAAGTTGAGTAACCACCAAGTTTAGATTTTTTCCGCAATTTTACCGCATCTACATAGCTGCATTTTTCAGTTTAATGTAATTTAACTTTATCATTTTTAGGCTTATACATGCTTGGCCTGTGAAATAGAAGTATGATTAAAAGTTTGAAACTACTCAAATCTGCATTTGATATGCTTACTAAAAAATGCCGTTAAAATACACCTTTGTTCCCATAAATTTATGGATCTTCTACACAATGTTCTTCAACTTATAGACCTACTCTTTTTCTTTCCAAGCAATTACACCCTCTGTCCCAAGTGTCTTACCTTTTTTTTTATATATCCCAGAAAAAGTGCATCATCTTATATTCGGTAAGTTTTTCAATTTCAACATTCTACTGACAAGTATAATTAAAATCACAAGATTCAAAATTCTCCATTTGTTTCTTAAATTTCGTGTCCATTCAAACTAAAATACTCAAATCGAGATGAAGGGAGTAAAATAAGAAAACAGACAATGAGAAAAGTCCTAGCAATGGTAGCGTAAGCAGAGGCGGATCCACATTAATCTGTGAGGGTGTACGTGCATCCGGTAACTTTTCAAAAAAATTTATATATATATATATATACACCTTAAGTAAGGGTTATATATTTAACTGTGCACTTCAATAACCAAAAACTCATCCAGGTGAATTGGTCAAAGCCGCAACTATTATCAGTAAACACAAAACATACGAAATTTTTACAAAATTCAACCAAAGAAACATACTTCAAGTGTTTTTATTCTTATACTTCATAAATTTTACTCTATACTTATTTTATACAATACACAATTTGATAAATGTATATTTATTACTAATATTAAATAAATGAAAATTGAAGAAGTACAACAATAATAATATATCCAGTAAAATTTCAAAAAAATACATAACTTTATTAGTTTAATTTAATAAATAATTCATTATCATAATATCAATATCAACTTTCACTAGTGAGTATCAGCGATGTAATACTATTGAGTATGGTGTCTTTGATTAAAAAAATGGTATTGATGTCCGAATCTCAATATTGCAGGAACGAAAAATATAATTTTAATTTTTTTTCTTTCATTTTAAATGAATTTCTGAGATTTTGCATATTACAAGAAAAAATTATATAAATGTTGTTTGGCTAAACAACTTAAGATTTCATTTTGTTCCAAATTTACAATTTTACTAATATCTAAAATTTATATCTCCAATTTCTTTCAAAAGAAATCTAATATTGCAATCATTACCCAAATGGACCTCATTGATACCCACTTATAGGATGCACCCAACGGAAATCTAATATCACAACCATCACCCAAATGGGTAATGGTCACCATGGGCACTTAAAAAATATATATTAAAATGAAAATAATTGATTTAACAATTAAATATTATATTATATTTAGTAACTTTACCATAGTTAGAACACATGAATAGTCAATATCTGTTATGTTCTGCTGAAAATATTTTCAGTTACAAATGTTACATCATGAGCTGTGAAGCAAATTGCAAAAAATAAAATAGTTTAAACTTCTATCAGAATTGTTCTAAAAAACAAAGTCCTTTGAACAGAGAATTCTTTAGAATTTTTAACGGAGAATTTAGAAAAAAATATAAACAGATATAATAGAATTAACAGAGAATCATTTTAAATACAAACAGCTATAACAAAGAGTTTGAACATATAGTTTTTAGGTTTTTTTAAATGAAGCATCCTATAGGACTTGGACTCCACCATTTTCTCAAAATAATAACAATTTTTTCCATAGGTTAATAATACTGTTTATTTATATTGACAAAGGTTATTTTAAGTAAAGGGGATTTTAGCTATGTGTTTATAATACATTGTCATAGATCTTATTGTTAAGAACTTTATTTATATTTATATTATTAATATAAGATTTGAATAGTTTAATTAACTCTTTAGACAAAGTTCTTTTGAAAGTTATAAAATCAAAAACTTGAATTTATAATTCTAAATTTCTTTTTAAAAATTAACTAAATTCTAAATTTATGGATTAATTGTGTGTTAGTGTTTGATATGTATGTATATGTTGATATTGGAGTGTCTATAATAGGTACAATGCTGAGTTGAAGTGTCTAAGCAAATTACACAAAATAACTTTAAGGGACCATGGATGACATAAGCGTCTTAGAAATCTCCATACAATTTGAGACAGAGGGAGCACAATCAATATGATCGAGATATAATAGAAAGCATCTATCAAACTTTTGGCCTAGGATGTTTGAAATGACTTTTTGAATAGGTAATGTCATGAGTTTTGGAGCTGTTCAAGGAAAAAAATGACATTTGTATGTATTATTTAAAAGTAGCAAATTCACTATAACCAGAAAACAAACTTTTGAATCAGCAGCACTCCTTTCATTATTATTTTTCCTTAAAAGGACGAAAGAAATACACAATAAGGAACGACTATGTCAATTTGGAAAAAAAAAATCTGATCAGAGGTGAAAAGATGGGTAAAAAATAACAATGAATATCCATATTTTATATCAGTAGAACATTTTATTTTATTGAAGGAATAAAGGCACTGCAAATGCATGGATGTAAAATTAGTCATAGTGCTATATTCTTGAGAGTTCAAAGAGGCATTTTTACCAGCATCATGTTACTCAAATGATATGAATCTGCATATATGTTGGACAAACCATACAGCTAATAGCACATATACAATTGTTCTGAGTACAAGAGCTTCAGTCAGACCACTCAACAACTGAAGACAACAATCCGAAAGGAAAAAAGGGATTAAAATGTGCAATCAAACCATAGTGGGCGAACTTGTTTCACCTAAGACTTGATTTCCGCCATCAGACCTTATTCCCTACCAAACTCTATAAAGTATGTCATGGTATCCAGCTTTGACTGCACCTCTTAGGTAGCTTATCATTGTCCCTCGAGTTGAAGATCGTTTAGATCCTTTGTTCCTTAAAGTTAGTTTTCACACTACAAGCTCATAAAGGCAGATACATGCCGACTAAGAGACAGGAAAAACAGCTGAGAAGCTCAACAATATGGCCCACCTGGTTAGACTACTGAACTTCAAAATCTCACTTGAAGTTGTTAATTCGCTTTGCTGATAACAAAGTATTGGAGAGAAGCATTGCTATAGTCATGGGCCCAACTCCTCCAGGAACAGGAGTAATAGCTGAAGCAACCTTGATGGCCTCCTCATAACAAACATCTCCAACTAATCGATAGCCTCGAGGATTTGTAGCATCCTGTTGGACAGAATAAAATCAGCACTCATCTAGGGAAATCAGAAGGCAAACATGCATTCCACTATAGGGATATTGTTTCTGTTTTTTCTTTCTTTTGGGGTGTATCGCTGTGATGGGAATATTGTTAAACAAAAAATAATAATTACTACATTCTTAAAGTGGTCCTTGAACTAGCAATTCTATCATATTTATTTGAAGAGCATGCTGGGAAAGGCACAATAACACACAAAAATTACTGCATAATCACGAGGATGACAATTAGAAGAAAACAGTATATAGCTTTCACACCTCCACAGGATTAATCCCAACATCAATAATTACTGCCCCAGGCTTGATCCAGCTACCTCTAACCATGTTTGGTTTCCCTACAGCTGCTATTATGATATCTGCTTGTCTTGTGATCTCCTCTGGGTTCTTGGTTCTGGAATGAACAATGCTGACGGTGGCATCTTCCCTCTAGTGTAAGAATAGGAAGAAACATTGGAAAGGACAAAAGTAATACACATAATTATAAGAGACTAAGAGCTCAATACAATGCTATCAGAAAAAAGGCTCTCTCACAAGAAGATCACTGTTTATTAGACTATTACCTGCAGCAGCAAGGCAGCAGGCATTCCAACTATATTGCTCCTGCCAATGACAACCGCTTTTTTCCCCTTGATTTCCACATTGTACCGATGAAGAAGCTCAATGCATCCTTTGGGTGTACAGGGGACAAATAAGGGCTCTCTACCTCGCATCGCAAGCTGGCCAATATTTAGTGGGTGGAATCCATCTACATCCTTCTCAATGCAAACAGCATGTAGGATTTTCTCCTCATCCATATGCTGATCCAAAGTTGATGAAGACAAAATTCAAATTAGAAGATAAAGGTCTAGGATTAGAAGCAAGGTGCCAGGCATTCTATGCAAGCTGGACATTCAGAAAGCATATGACCATCTCAACTGGAATTTTTTGCTGGAGACCTTATCCAAAAGAGGTTTTGGTGGTAGATGGGTGAGATGGATAAAGTTTTGCATCAGTACTGTGAAATATTCTATTCTAATCAATGGCTCTCCTACAGGTTTCTTCTCTTCACAGAGAGGATTAAGACAAGGAGACCCTCTGTCTCCTTTCTTATTCATTATAGCTATGGAGGGACTCAATGATATGTTGAAGATTGCTCAAGAGAAACTATGGTTGAGGGGCTTCAGAGTATCAAATAGGGTGGGTTGTGACATGGAGATTACACACTTACAATATGCTGATGATACTCTGGTTTTCTGTGATGCCAACAGAAACCAACTGATGGTTCTCAGAGTCATATTCGTGCTATTTGAAGCCATATCAGGACTACATATCAATTGGGAAAAAAGCTTCCTATACCCAGTGAATGAGGTCATCAATCTAACCTCTCTGGCTGGTACACTTGGGGGGAGGACTGGCGAATTACCAACTGTATATTTGGGCATGCCACTAGGAGCAGAAAGCAAGTCTTCAGGAATCTGGAATGAGGTGGTCGAGAAGTGTGAAAGAAGATTGGTGAGCTGGAAGAGTCAATATCTCTCCTTTGGCGGGAGACTCACTCTCATCAATAGTGTTCTTGACTCCATGCCTACCTACATGATGTCTATCTTTCCTATCCCAGATGGGGTCATTAACAGACTTGATGCAATAAGGAGGAATTTCCTATGGGAAGGAAACAGTGACACTAAGAAATTCCACTTGGTTAAGTGGGATAAATTGATTGGGAGCAAACAAAAAGGAGGTCTTGGGGTAAGGAATTTGAAGATTCAGAACCAAAGCCTTATGATGAAATCGCTATGGAGACTAGCTTCCAGTGAACATGCACTATGGAAAGAACTTATCAAGCAGAAGTATGAAATGGAGGACCACTGGTCTACCAAAATGGTCACTAGTACTTATGGAACTAGCATCTGGAGGGCCATCAGAAATTTCTGGCCAAAATTAAGAGAAAATTGCAGCATTAGAATTGGAAATGGCATGAAGGTCTTTTTCTGGGAGGACAGCTGGTTAGAACAAGGCTCTCTAAAAACCCTCTTCCCAGATATCTACATTCTGAACCAACAACAAAAAGACACTGTGGCAGAAGTTTGGTCAAATTAGGGATGGAATTTGAGTTTTAGAAGGCCCCTAAATGATTGGGAGATCCAAAGACTAGTAGATTTCTTTGGAATCCTTGAACAATTCAAAGGAACTTCTACCTCCCAAGATGGATTGTTTTGGAATCATAACTGCAACGGAAATTTTAGTGTGAAGGAAGCTTACAAAAAGTTCAACTCTTTCACCCATCAGGTTACTGGCTGGCCATGGAAACTTATCTGGAAAGTTAAAATACCTCCTAAAGTGTCCTGCTTCACTTGGCTACTAGCAAAGCAGGCTGTTTTGACTCAGGAGAACCTCATGAAAAGGGGTATCCACCTGAGCCCTAGGTGTTTCCTGTGTGGAGAAGAGGCTGAAACAGTCAATCACCTCTTTCTTCACTGTAGGATCACTAATATTTTGTGGAGCATTTTCATCAATTGGAAGGACCTTTTTTGGGTGATGCCAAGAAATATTGTCCAGGCCCTGAAGATATGGAGTAGCTTTGCCTACATTTCTGGTCATAAAGAAAGATGGAAGATCATCCCCACCTGTATCTGGTGGTCTGTGTGGAAAGAGAGGAACCTCAGATGCTTCCAGAACAAAAGTAACAGCATCCAGAAGATGAAGTTGAATTGCTTGGTTTTATTTCATTTTTGGTGTAAACAGGAGTATATGGAAGATCTAGAATCAGTAATGAATGCTTTAGGCACCTTGTAATTTTTGTTTATTTAGGATTGAAGATCTTCCTGATACTCTCCTTTTATTTGTAATTAGTAAACCTGTAACAAGTTGTGGCAGGTTTGATTTTTTGGAATATAATACAAGACTGTTACCTTCTCAAAAAAAAAAGATAAAGGTCTAGAAAGATATCAACTCTATCAGAAGTGGAATAGCTTTGAGATATATCATTGATCTATAAACTCATCCATAACATAGAGTATTTTCTCTTCATCATACATGAACATGATCTGATTAACTTTGATTACTGTTACTACAAAGATCAAATCTGTTGGGGACTAGTTTTATGAAGCACCAAATTAACAATCTGATTAACTTTGGTTATCTGTAATATTTTTTGAGTCATTACTTCTCATTCTTCAATATTCTCGTCATATCTTTTTACTCTTGCATTCCTTTCAAATCATGTTCTTTAAAATGATTTCTTGAGCTAGGTTCTATCGGAAACAACCTCTCAATACGACAACGGTAGGGTAAGGTCTGCGTACATCCCACCCTCCCCAAACTCCACTTGTGGGACTATACAGGGTATCTTGTTGATTAGCAACCACAAATGATGTCACAGCGTACTATCTGATAAACTGAACTGATATAGATCAGCAGTTTCTCTCTCTTAAGATCCAATTCATACAACAGTAACAAAAAAATGACAAGGGAGATCCAACAGTAACAATTTAGACATGATTCTGGGAACACAACTCATCCATATCCATCTTGGATAAAACTAATCCAGATGAAGTCGAACGTCAAACATTCTTAACTCTAAGAAAATTCAGCAATAAAAGACAAAAGGTTTAGTAGCATACCGAAGGTAATGGTAGCTGAACAAGAATTCCATGAACCATAGGATCATCATTGAAGTCTGAAATATACTTGAGAACTTCTTCTTCTGTTGAGTTCTCAGGCAAACACACTTCATAGGATTTGATCCCAGCAGTTTCACAAGCTTTTTTCTTGTTGCGAACATAAGTTGCAGAATCTTTCCTATCCCCAACAAGTATAACTGCCAGGCCAGGAACAACACCAATCGAATCTTTCATCCTAGTTATTTCGGCATTTATTTCATCTCTGACATCTTTTGCAACTTTTTTCCCATCAATCACTTTTACCGATGCCTCACTAGCCATTGCAGCTGCACAGCAATGCAAATAATTCAAAAATCTTTAGAAGGTAGGTCCGTCAAACCAAACCAAAAATGCCACGAAACCAGACAGTTGGGGAACATGCAAGAAAAAATCCAGAGTAAAACAATGGCGTTAAAAGGTAAAAGGCCCAACTATGAGCCAAGGACCAAACACTTCAAGTGCGCGAAATTCTCAACCAACTTACCTAAGAATACTGAAGTTTAAAAAATTGTAGACACATCTCTCTGACCAATTAAACAGCTTACAGAGATGGTTTATTTAGTAAAGGTCTGAACTTTTAATACCTATACCATCAATTAATCCCATTTTAGATCTCTGAATTCTTGTTTGGTCATCTTCTAGCTTAAGATTCTTAACATCACGCCTAAAACAGCTTGCCAATATTATAACTTCACTGAAAACATAGATTTTATGTATTGGCAATTCCTCAATATCTAGTTCATTCGCCAAAAAAAAAATGTACTACCTTTACCCTTTTTACAAATCCATATTCCAAACAAAGATATACTTACAAAGCAACTTAAAAGCTTGGGAATTGCACAGTAAAAGAATTTACCAGTGATGATGGAGGAAGAGGAAAACGTTGAACGAGTGATGATGGTTCTGGGAAAAGATGGGTTGTGAAAGAGAGCCAGAGAGGAACGGAAGCGAATTTGGTGGGGCCCAAGAAGTGGTAAAAACCGAGCTGCGGCGGCGGTTGACGGCGGTGAGCAGTTGTTTAACTTCATCTTCATCATTGTTATCGGAGATGACGCCATTTTCCGACAAAGAAGATGAAGTTGAGCTCTGAGTCTCAGCCCTATGCTTGCACCGTTTTTTGTGTTTGGGGTTTTAGATTTTTTGCCGTAGGGTTTTGGACCATTTAATTTTTAATCAGAAAAAGGAGTTTCTTTTCAGATTTGGCTTAATTGTACTGTTGGTCCCTCGGTTATAGCTAAATTTTAATTCAGTTCCTATCATTTTTTATTAAGTACAATTAACTTTGATCTTTTTCTTAATGAATACTTAATTTTAGATTTTGGAAATATCTAGCAAGGTTAAAATATGTTTAAAACTAAAAGTAGATTTCCCTTACTTTTTTTATTTTTTACTTGAAAGTATCCAAACGAGCTCTAAATTTATAATCTAATTACCTAAAAAAACCCATGATAAAAAGTAGGCTTTGGAAACTATTACATCTATAAGGTAAAAAAAATTCAAAACACACAGCAGAACAAAGTTATACTCTCAGTTAAAAAAGAAATCTAAAGGCTAATCTCCTCCAGAATAATTTTGGACAAAAAAAAAAACTTTTAATTTTCAGTGGTTCCCATCATATACTTGGAAAAAAAAATATTCCAGAAAGGCATCCTTTCTTTTTGATATGCAAGAATTTTCCACGTAGCTTTTGCATACATTCAACTATATCGATGCAAACTACCTGGATGACCTTATATCCTGAAATGCAAAAACAAAAACTTTTCGAACCAAAGCAATTAAAAGGTCTATCACCTAGTGGTTATGCCATAAAAGAAATTTGCTCTCCTGCATAGCTTCTTGCTTGCTATACTTCTGTACATTCTTTTAAAAATGGGGGTTAACTAAAAACACTATACACTTATAGGACTATCTTCCCTTCTATTGCCCTTCGTTTTTGGTTGTAGGTCCAAGCAATGCAGATTCTTGTTTCTTCTAATGGGTATCATATTGCTAGTGTTCCTTCACTGACTTGGTTCTCATCCGATGAGTCTGAGGGCGGAGCTTTGGCTTTACTCACCACACGAGAAAAACCATAGCCTAGAGAACTTCCGCTAGTTTCACATAGCTGCAAAACAAAATCAAGTGTATTTGTATTAAATATCTAACAAAATCTGAAACGGATGCAACCTCTAGCAACACTCCAAATGCAAAGACAAGTAGTGCAAGTATAATTTACCTCAGTAAGCTCAGAGAGGTGGCGGGACCTAAACTCGTTGATTGTTGCTGCTATCTCCGACATTGGCAGCTTAGCCTAGAAGATATAATATATACTCAGAATTTTATTTGTTTCACTCAAGGAATGGTTAAAGAATGTCAAAAGCCAACTACAAGGAGGTCGAGATGCAAAGGATAGATTATTGCATCACAAGATCCAACAACCCATCAAGAATGCTCAAGTATACAGTAGAACAGATCTCTAACCAATCTATCAAATCTACTTACTTGTGCAAGGACAGCAGCGGCCAACTGCAGGCTTGGTTCCAAGGTCTCGGGCACAACCTGTAAAAACATTTATCCACCTCAATTTATGCATTGTTCATCATTTATCCAACTATTCCCTCTTTCATGCATAATATGTTACAACTAGAGATGTCACTGTAGCACAATGTTAATACAACAGCAAATGTATAAATATTTCAAGGCTCAGAATCTTGATGTTATCCAGAGAATCCTAAGTGCAACCAACATGAACGAAGTTTCCAACAAAAAGATCAATAGCAGAAATTAGAATAAGAAAGATACCGCTGTTGCTCCAGCCTTCTCTAAATTAAGGCCATGATCCACATCATGAGCACGTACAAATGTTTTCACATTGGGAAAGTACTTGTTCAAGGCCCAAACAGTTCTGTAATTTGCACCAGGAGTATCTAATGTTATTGCGGCAGCACATGCTCTTTCAGCTCCAACTTTATGAAGAACCTATAAATCGAGAATCAGAATGTCAAAATAAAATATCCACACCATATTTGTAAGTTAAGAAATTTGGTTTACCTCTCGGCTACCAGCATCACCAAAGTATACAGGAAGGTCAAGTGCACGACCAACTGCAACACGCTCACTGCATTTATTATAAAAAACATTTATTAAGACGAGCATCATGATAATAATTGGATAATATAAGTGAACAAGATCTCCTGCACACCCCCTTCCCAAGATTTCTTTAGATACAATAATAAAGTTAAACTCAGCTTGTTGATGCTCTTATAATCAACTACTGAAAAGTACTCCAGGATGAATATGGTGATATTCAGGATCCAATCACAATCAAAACTCCAACATATAAGGAAACTCTAATACCCATTTATATTTGCTCAGGGCCAGTTGCTTCTAAAGCTTCTTTCATGGTGGTTTTAGTTGTGGAAATGAATTTCTTTGATTTCATATCCGCCCATAGACTTACGCAGTTCATAAATTCATTGAACGAATTCAAGGATTCGTTGGTAATTGACTTTAGCCACCATGGTATCTTGGTTGCTTTGTTTTTGCTCAACTAGAATCTTCAGCTTGTAGCCTCAAATCTCCTTTACTCTCTGGTTAGATTAGAATTGGTTTCCATTCAAGGTAATGATAGATAATTTTGGTTGAAATTTACAGCAGAATTGCTCAAACCAACTCTGACGATCTCTCTTCTCCCTTCTAACTCTCACACTTCTTTTCCTTTTTGAAGTTTCTTTCTGGTGGTGGGGATTGGGTGCAGTAGTGAGGAGAGAAGGCAGAACGGAAGACACAAATCTGGTGTGGAGGTGGTGGCAGAGGGAGAAGGGGAAGGGGAAGAGTAAAGGCATTATGGTGGTGCCGGGATGGGGGAGGAGGTGGTGGCAGGGAAAGAGAATGAAGACGAGAGATTTAATTTTATTCAAAATGCCTTCCACGCTCTTAAACATGGATCATGCCATGTCAAAATGCCTTACACACATCATGCCATGTCAGCAATATGTCTAATAGGACACAGTTTAAACATGGATCAGGTGTTCAATAGGTACAATTTTACAAGCCTTACTCTAGGTCTCTTACGAAAATTTGTGACAAGTTTTAAGGGGCTATCTATCTGTTTGGCCTTTGATTAACATTCAAATATTCAAATCTGATTTGTAAAAATAATCTAATAGTTCATTAAAAGACTACTACAATCTGGTTCAATTTCCTCAATTCTCCGGCTTGGCACTGCGGCACTCTTTTGGGAAGCCATCGTCCTCTTCTCTTTCATTGTTATTCCTTTGATGCATGCATGAATGTGAACATGTATATAGATACAGAAAAATAAACTTTTACTTTAAATCCTAAAAGCGGATGATGACTGATGACTCACAATTAACAAACTATATAAGTCAATTTCATTGCTTGCTTTCATGACTGAATTATTATACTACCTAATAAAACTTCCTTCTACCTCATTTTGTATAATGATGTTTGATAGGACACCAAGTTTGAGTCTTTAAGATGTCATTTTTACTTGAGTAACAACAACATACCCGACGTAATCCCACAAGTGGAGCCTAGGGAGGGTGGATGTACGCAAACCCTACCTTTGTGGGGTAGAGGTAAGATGTCATTTTTACTTGAGTATTTTAACAAAATAGTCAATTAAGTGGGCAGAAAATTGGTTTGATTGAAAAAATATTACATCAAGGTTTAAAATTTAACTAGTAAAAGTATTTGAATTCCTGAAAGTTGTATAGAGTAACAATGGAACATATCAAACAATTTGGGATGTCCCAAAATAGTAAGATTGTCATATAAGCTGGAGGGAATAACAAATTGCAAAGAATAAATATCTTCTTTAAATAACGATTCTAAAAAAAATTGGCATCTTCTGATTTTCAGTTGTTCAGTTTCTATTTCCACATTGCACTGAGATGCTATATCATAAAAAACTTGCAAAAAAATACTACAACTCATATATAATGAGAATATCACAAACCATTGGGAAGTCATGAAACTTGATAATAGTTACTCATTGGCTCTGTTTCCTCAGGGGTAAACATTCTCTACAGCATAATATCTTATAAAGGAAAACCATGTTCTTGCATCTGGTTAGATATAAAGGACCAGGCTTTTAAGAGTAGTTGATAGTGGAGGTGCTGTTGAGAGATAAGTTGTGAAAAATATATAAAATTCTAACCTTCACTGAACCCACAGGAGCTGAAACCAGTTGAATGTGAGCAAAAAGAGAATCATACCTTCGCACATCAAGCGCAACAAACGGAATCAGTCGCTCGGAGAGAAGTTGGGCAATGATCTGTTAAGATGAAACTAACTCAGCAGACAGAAGCTGGGATGGATAGCTTCATTTTTCCAAAGTTTGACAATGATTCGTCAAATGATCAATTAACTAATTCATGAAAGCAGGGGGCAAAACCTGGCCAACGCGACCAAATCCACAAATAATGATATGATCTTGCAAATCATCTGTCTGGAAAAGAAAAAAGGAACTATTAATTTATATTATTTTAAGCAACCGATTGAAGTCAGTGAAATCTTCTTTACATTTATGCAGGTAATAATCCAGAAAGATATCATTACATGTTGTAGTCCTTCAAGTAATGAACTTTGGTAACTGAACATCTGTTACTTCTCATACCAATGATCTTCTTAATAAATGCTAACGTTAACGATAACATCTTATATAGAGCAAAGCAGCAATGAGTTAAATAAGCTCAGAAGGAAAACCAAGTGAGGCATTAGGTTCAGAGGAAACCTAATCAGAGATGAGATGGATCTATAATTCCATAGATAATTACTTTTCAAGGCAAGAATACCTCCTTGCAAAAAATAAAATTGTGCCAAAAGTAAAAAGGCAGAGAAACTACAAGGGTTCAGAAGGCTTAGTGCCACAACACTGAGGCACGAAACTTAAGTAGCAACAACAAAGTACAGCACGAAACTTGAGAGATGAACCAGGATAAAAGAAAGGCATTGAAAGGAGAAAGCAGCTAGGGATGAAGAAATTTGAGAAAGGGAAGGACAGCCAGGGATGAAAAAATTTGAGAAATGGAAGGACAGCCAGGGATGAAGAAATTTGAGAAAGGGAAGGGGAGTAAAAGGAAATGTTTTCTAGCACCAAAATTCCAGCTTTCCTCGTCTCCAGAACTACTTTATGGTTTTCTTAACAACAGTACTATGCCCCTTAACCTTGGCCCTTTAATTTATACCCAGTAACTATTGACAACCTGAAACCAAACTATTTTGTGTAAACTTGCAAGGTCCTGAACCTGAAGTACAGGTCTAACTGTATTTTTCTGTGATCTACTCACAAATCTAGCACCACAACAAATAATTATGTGACATGCACCTACTTTTGGCAGCTATATTTTGCTTGAAGTAAGATGTAATCAAGTAGAATATACTAAATGTTCGAAAATTGTAGAAACGAAAAACAGAGGCTTTAGTGTGATCTGTCTTTAGGGGTCAAAATATAAGAATTTGCAAACATGTACACGGTTCATTAGTTTCATCCTTGCTAAAGCCAAAGAAGAAAACTAGTGCCACCAAAAGTAGGAGGCAGTACCTCACTTTCATCAGGCAATAAACTTCGCACATCTTGCAGCTCAAAACGAGATGCTATTAATTGACCTCCAGCAGCTAGATATGGTGTGAGGGCCATTGAAATTCCAACCACAAGAAACAGCAGAGATGACAATTCAGGAGACATTATTCCCTGGAAAAAAAGAAGGTAAAACCAATGAGGAATCATTAAATAAGCTAATACACTTATTCTAAGAAGATATATTTTTGTCATGGGGCAAAATTCCTCATAGATCTTAGCATTGTACTGTCCAGATAAGTTGCAGCTTCAAATCTATTTAAGGGTAGATAAGGGCGAACAAGCCTCATGAAATAAGAGAAATGTAAGTAGATATAAGATGGCCGACGTAGATAGAAACTGGAAGGATTGATGGTAATTAGTCTCCACTTTCCCAACAACAGGATCAGACAAGCTCAACATTTGATTTCAGTACACAGGTCATTTGTAGAAAAGGTCCACAATTCCTTGACAAAGGAACAGAAGATGTTTAAACAGCATCGCAAGAGAGGGAGAAAAAATGGAATAAAAGAATTTTATTAACGGATATGAATTGCTTGTGAAAGGTTAAAGCTATCAAAGAAATAAACCTGATTGACAGCTTCACCAAAGGCTACAAAGGCAAACTCTCCACCCGGAGCAAGTAGGAGACCAACTCTTACTGCCGATACAATTGAAATACCAAACAGTTTACCAATTAATGCAACCAAGATAGTCTTGCCACCTAATAGAAGTCCCAGTGAGCCCATAATCACTGGAAAGTTTGAAAGAAGAAGCTTGGGATCAATGGACATTCCAACCTGCAAGCCAGATAATACTTGTTCAGTTGTAAAGACGCAAAGCACCCATAGTCATAATAAATATATTCATGGACAACTCTCATTTCATCCTTGATAAAAGTTGATTAAAATAGATAAAATTTTGTTTGCTACACAGCTGAAGTGGTATTACAGAACTCACAAGTACAGTCATTCAATGAGAACAACTCAGGAGAGACAGTTAAGCTCTACAAGCTGGCGAGAACACTAGAGAAAGAATTTTAAAATGTAAATAGAACCTTACCAAGACCTATCCTACCTTAACTCTGAATGACTAGTTGTAGGATTACAAAACTGCATTCACATTGTCCACCAAACAAGATCATTATCACCTACCGTCATGAAAAAGAGACCCAGCAGGAGTCCACGATATGGAGCAATATCTGATTCAACTTGCAACGAAAATTCAGTTTCTGCCAGAAGCAGACCAGCTAAAAATGCACCCAAAGCCATTGAAAGGCCAGCCTGCATTAATTCATGTCAGTTAACACATCGTAGCCTCCACAAAATAACGGCTCTAACAAACTTGGCCAGTATAGATGGACCCGTAAGAATTTTGTAAGTACCCTGGCAGTCAGAAGACTAGTCCCTAGGATAACAAGGAGCGTATTTGCCGAAAATATTTCTGCATTTTGGTTCTCTGCAATCTGCTTATAAATAGGCCGCAACAGCTAAAATCAGAACAGAGAACGAACATATTAGTGTCCTCGGATTTAACAGCAAAATATATTACGAGACTTGTAAAATGAAAAGTGTAATTAGTACCCTAATTAATATTGGGATTTTTACACTAATAGCCGGACAGATTTACTGTTTACTCTTTTCTAACCGGTATACATAGAGTCCTTGGATTTAACAGAAAAATATCTTACAAGACTTGCAAAAAATGAAAACTGGATTTAACACCCTAATTATCTTTTGTAACAGTCAAAAATCAAAAAATTAATTTTAATAATCTATAGGCAATAGAAAATGAAAGACCACGGTCAAATGTCATAAGAGATGTAGTTTGGACTTAAAAACTATATACTACAAATCTGAAGCATTTATAATATTGGAAGAGATTCTACACGAACAAACAGCTTACCAGACGTCCTCCGGCAATAATGGCAGTGATGGCTACAATTGCCTTTACAGCAGCCAAACCAAGGGCCTCAGCTATTGCTCGGAAACCAATCTAATAAGAAAGTTCTGTTATAACAAGGCAATTTGGAAAATGGCAACAGTGTGTACTCACAGCTATCGAAAGGAAAGAATGTTGTTTTTGCATGTGATTTGAGGTCCAGAACCTCATATTGCTGGAATCGTAATTATAAAAAGTTCAAAACAACAAAATTTCAAATTATTTTTCAGAAGACAGTCGGTAATGTAAAAGAGTCTATACCCCTCCTTTTGATGAATTTGGTGAAATTAGTGGTATCAGTATGAGTAGAACAACTACCGCCAGATCCTGGGGGATAAAAGGAAAAAATTGTTAAATCATATCACAAAGAAAATTCTAAAAGTGTCACAGCACAAGTATATCATTTCAAGTGCATAACAGCACCTATACGGTGATGGAAAGTACATATATGTGAGTTGTGTGTATGCCTAGATACACATAATATTATAAGTTTCAACACCCATCTCATGAGAAAGATGCGACAGCTTTGTACTGTCTATATGCGGATACCTGAAAGAGCAATACGGAAAATGTAGCTCGTCCATGTCGTGATGTGCTCTCACCACGCTCCTGCAATACCTGCAGATAGGCAACATAATCATTAGTTACTAAAGTTTCATTTACAATGAGTAAGAGTCACAGGCACACAGACAAACCATATATAGATAAACTACAATGCCTTGGATTGTAGAAAACATGTTGAATCAACAAAGAAAATATAAGGAAAACTCCAATGCTGATTTGATATCTCAGCATAAGCCATTATCAAGAATTACTGCTTCTGGATTTTGGGGAACATATCATAATAATGTTCCCTTTTTAAGCATTAACTTTGATTAGAGTGTTGAACTGGTCACCAAATCAACGTATTTAATGAGTATACAAAACCACTAAGTGCCAAATCTTGCCCATCATTCATCTAGCAAGGAAGACCTGCTAAAGATATAGAAGGATTTACCTGGAGGACGACAGCAGTGGAAGATAAGGCAAGCCCATTCCCAATCACAATTGCAGCAGGTCCAGCCTGCCCGGCAACCAAATTAGCAACTAACCCGACCACCACAGCTGTCACTAAGACCTGCGTTCATTTATTGAAATTACTAATTAGTGTGAAAAGCTAATTCGTTGAGACCCTCTAGTAAGCAATATGGTGGTGGGTTAATAATACCAAGTGCTCAAACTTTTGCAATTACCTGAGCACTGCCCAATCCAAAAACGTATTTCTTCATAGAACTTAGTCTCTCAACAGATAGCTGTCGAAGAGAATACAAACAGAAGTTATTAAGGCAGTATTTGTAACACATTCAGAAAGAAATAAACTAGTCAATTTTCCTAGAGTCTACCTCTAAGCCAATGTTAAATAGCAGGAAGACAACTCCAAATTCAGCTATAGCCTTGGTCCCATGTACATGACGTATGATAGACAGACCATAAGGTCCAATCAAGATTCCAGCAGCCAAATACCCAAGGACAGGACTTCCTATACATTACAGCACAGAGAAGATGAACCATTAATAGGAAACACGAGTACATCTACGGTCTATCACGGAGGAGCAAAGAACACAATATCTGTGATTTACATCAAGGTCACAAAAAACTTAGTGTCCAATAAGCAAAGATCATGTTTCAACCTTTAGAACATGTTCAAGGAAAGACCTAGCAGGAAACCTTTACATCAAGAACAAGTTTGGTGAAATTATCATACATAATAAGCCACAAGTCACTGTCCTCATGCAATAAAGAAGGTAGCAAAATTCAATTACCTCCTGGAATTTTCTGGAAGATGGGCACAAAGATAACACTTGCAAGCAATAGCCATAGCATGTCAAAAAGAGAAGCTTCTTCCTCATTTATCTGAAATGAGAAACAACACCATTAGCAAGTAAAAGTAAAGCCCCATCCTAACAAAATGGTGATGGCAGGCATTAAACTAGTGGGAGTTTAAGAGGCATGCCTCTTGATGAGGAAGCATCTCCATTAGTGTCTTAAGTTTCTTGGGAAGTTTTCTTATTTGTCGAACCAGAGGTCTTGCATTTGTCGAGACCTCATCAATGCTTGTGGTAATTATGTCTGGCGGCTGAAATGACTGAAAAATTCGCTCTGATCGATTGAGGTAAAAGGCAATTCTGTGACAGATGTCAGAAGCATATCAAATGCCATAACCACAACAAGCTATATCAATCTAATGATACAAAGATTGTATCCTAACGAGGCACTTATACATGCAGCTACTGAGATTAGTTTCATCTTCTAAAAGAAACAAAGAATGGATAGTGTTATAGTAGTTGTACCCTGCTCCCATCAGTAATGAGCCAACCACCAGCTTGGGCAATTGATTCCTTGCCGATTCAATGAGACTCTGGAAAACTGAAGCAGGTGTGAACTCTTCACCATCTGAGGGAAATGAGAAGAAAGATGCAGGCAAGAAACGAGATGATTTCTTCAATAATGCTTTGGGAGCACTAAGCGGTGAACTGTCCCTAGCTGATTCCTTGTTGACCTCCTGCCTCACAGTTTGAACACTTTTTGGTTTTTCTGCATCAGAATCAGAATCTTTTGAGGAGTCTAGAACTAACTTTCTATCTTCATCGTCACTCTCATCAGACAATAGCCCACTGGCCACCCAAGCATCCTCCAGTTGTACCTCCCGATCTTTATCAATAACACTCTCAACTGAATTTCTAGGGAATACCTCATCCTCACAAAGGGTCCCATCCACCGACACTTGGCCTAGAGCTGATGATCCATTCTGTACGACTGAAGTTTCTGCAGTGTCAAGAGGTGATACAGCTAGGTTCTTCTCGGCTTTCTGCAAAGCAATCTCCGCATCATTCACCCGTTGAGTAGCCTCGAGCTCATAAGCAACAGCTTGTTCGGCTAAAAGCATTATGTTTGAAACAGCTTCCTCGGCTTTTAAAACCTTGATTTGTGCTTCCTCAGCTAGATCATTCAACCTGTCAGCCTCTTTTTGCAGCTCTTCTTTTTTGTTCTGCAGCCGCCTCAATATAGCCTCACAATTTTCCAACCGGTTCCGACACTCCTCCATATCTTCCTGAGCAGCTGAAAGTGTTGTCTCTTCCTCCATCAATGAAGTTGATTCTTCCCCTTTGCTTTCTTCAGAAGTTTTTGAAGACATACGTCCTTGTTTTGCAGTTTGTATTGAATCGAGAGCAACTAGAAGCCTTGCCTCAGCCAAAGAAAGGGCCATTGTTGCTTTTTGAACTGCTTCTTTAGCGATCATCTCTTCAACTACAATCTCTTCAATACTGTCAAGTTGTTTGTTCACATCATCCCATGCATTAGCAGATTCATCCTTTAATGCTATAGCAGCTTCTGATATCTTCTGCGCTTTTTCCTCAAACATTGTGCTGTTCAGCTGTGCAACTTCCAGATCCTTGAGTGCCTTCTGCAACAACTCCCTTAGTTCATCCAAATTATCCCCTTCCTTTTCTTCTCCTTTGTCTTCCTCCAACTCCTTAGCGCTACTAATTTCAGCGATGCCATTAGCACTAACACTCAAAGATCCCTCCTCAGCACTCCCACTGGACTCCACATTTCTACCATTACCATCAATAAAAGCAAGTGAATCATTCTCCTGACACCGAGGCAACTTTACTCCCCTAGAAGCCTTCACACCCGCCAAATTCCCACTTGAATCAGATTTCCACAAAGCACAACTCAATCGTATCCTCGAATATGCTAAACTATTATTACTACATCCCACAATCCGTTTCAACCTTCTCCCAGGCCGATTCCTACATATAACCCTAGCATTTCCAAGCAATTTATGCTTCAATCCTACATCACAGCTGCTTTTCCTACTGTAGTTCAAAGCTTCACCACAATGCGAAGCATTCGGCTGCCATAAACAGTAAGCAAATCCCATCCTCCTCTCCTCTAATTCACTAAACGTCAAAAAAACACCAAACCGTAATTCTCATTACCTCAAATCACCTAACAAAACAAACAAAACAAGTTTCTATTCCAATCATCAACAAATTTTACAAAACCAATTCACCCTACAGCAAATAATCAGCTAAAATCACCATAACAAACTGAAAATAGATTTTGCAATTAATCAACATTCCGCTTCAATACACATACTCAACAAAGAAGAGTTGAAGAGAAATTTGAATTTACCGATACAGAGAAGTGACAGTGAGAGTAGATATCGATATCTTCAGTACGGCGGAATTTGAGAGAAAAATTAGGTCAGAAAATGATAGATTGACTTTGCTATTGGCTCTTCCTATCGATTTTTTATAGCTTTGTCCGAACAGTCCGAAGAAGAAAGAGCCTTTCGTTTAGCGACTCTGTGCTTACTTGAAAAGTTGAAATGATGTGAAGAAATATATTTTTCTTTCTTTTTTTTCTTATTTTCAGTTGCTATTTTTTTTTAATTTATTTTCAGGTTTTTGTTGTCTCCCTCCCATTTGTGGAACATGACAAAATTGGATTAAAGGGTTTATTGGTGGATATTCCATTTTTCTTCATTTACATAAGTATCCTCCTTGTTATTGTTTGATGGAAAATTCATTTCACAAATAGATATTTAGTCATGTGATAAGCAATGAGTAACGTACCTACCTGAAAGTGGTTTCTAACTTTTCAATTTATTTATTTTTAGTTTTCGATTGGTGTTCGAAATTAATATTGAATACTCAACTAAATTTAGATGGTCTATTCGGAGTTGGCGCTCCAAATAAGATTTTCTCCATATTCAAGACTTGAATCCAAAATTACTGATGAACTTTATGTGAAGTGAATCAATTATAGGAAATCATTTCCTTTCTTATAAAAAAAATAATATTTTTTTTAATGATCGGAACCAAATCTGCTTCTGTTCATGAATCCTCCTTGGGCTGAGTCCACTGGACTTCAAATTAATCCATTTGCATTTCAAATGGGCCATAGAGGCCCAAATCTCTAAATGCTTATTTCACATTGATTATCTTAATTAAGTGGATATTATAGTTGTGAATTATAATTTTATTAAACTATAGTTATATATAATAAATATATAGCATATTGTCTTACTGTGTAGTTTTTCCTTATTTTAATTTCATTTAGTTTTATTTCAATTGTAATTTAGTTGGTTCTAATTACATTGTAATTATATAGTGTTGTTATTTGATTGAATTCTATTAGTTAGTTGTAACTTTAATTGAATCCCATTAGTTAATTTAAATATTATTTTGTTTACATCTGTAAATATTATTTATTCAAATAAGAATTAAGAAATCAGGTGAACCTAACATATAGTCTCAAAACAACAGTGTTGCATCGTCGTCATACATTATTCTTCTATGAATAATTTAACATTTTCTCATCACATGAATTATATATTAGAGATCGTTAATTATGTCTATCTCAATCAAGAATTATATCATGGATAATTGATATTATTTATAATTATTTTCATCAATATATGTTAATTATTAGCATAGGATGTGCTTCGAAGTCATGAAACAAGATTTGTTAGAATTAGTCATGCAGTGTTTTACTTTAGTTCTTTGTGGAGTATAAAGGTCTTATTTATCATAGGACTTTTCGCTAAATATATTAGGTCTTATGCTTGATTGACAACATCTATATCTATATTACTTTAAAAAGTATGAAGGTCCTTATAAAAATTGATTGAATATTTTATCACTCAATTAAAGATTTTATAAATGAAAATTGTAATTTACTATTTTTTTAAAATTATTTATAATTATCTTTATAATATTTAAAACTAAGAATCGAAGTCCTAAAATATATGGCAAGAAAAAAAATATGGTAAGAGGCATTAGGACAATTAATAATTTAGGAAACCTAAAATATATGGTAATTAAGAGAAAATATATTTGAAAAATCAAAAAGTCCTGAAATTTATGATAAGAGCTATTAAAATCAATTACAGTTTTATTAACTTATAACAATTATCTTTTTTATTAGATTACTTAATTATTCATCACAATTATATTTTTATAATTATAAACACTAATAAACTGTTTTTAACAACATTAAGAAACTAACTTCTGTTACTTTTAAAAAAAATTGAATACGACTTTTTATTAGATTCACTTTAGATTATGAGCCAAAGCAATTCATCACTTGATCTTATTATTTAATAAGCAAGCACAGTTTGAGAAAGAAAAATATTACTTAGCACACAATACTTGATAACTACTCCCTCTGTCCCTAGTTACTTATCCATATTCTCTTTTTTAGTTGTCCCTAATTACTTGTTCATTTTGACAAATCAAGAAAGGACAATTTTTTTTATATATTATACCCTTAATTAATTACTTTGAAAAATGTAGAACTTCTTGAAAATTTTAAGTTTTTAATTCACACACTTCATAATTAATAGGGGTAAAATGGTAAACACAATATGTCAATTATTGCTTTCTTAATAGGTGTGTCAATTCAAAAGTCAACAAGTAATTAGAGACAGAAGTAATAAACTATGTATAACAACATATATGACTTGTGAGTAACGATATTTATAAACAACTTGTAACTTTATCAAATTAATAAGTAGCTAACTATATCACAACATCTACTAAAAGAAGTTACATTCATAAAGATTGATATCGTTTGCATCATTCTTTGATATTCCATTATCTTCTGAATTCATACATTCATCCTCCAATGCAGCAAGAAAGTCATCCTCAGCATCCACCTCTATATAATCATCATCAATCTCTTCTAATTCTTCCATAACCGAATCGATTAATTCATTAACTTCAACATCATTCATAATAATCTCATATTTTCCCTTATCATTGTGATCAAGCCTTTGTTTCTTCTTCCTAATCTTACAAATTACAAAATCCTTATATATAATTTTCTTCTTAATATTAGTAACATAACCACCATATAAGGAGTACTCTGTCATCAACCACTCGCCGAATAACTCCTTGATTATTATTGACTTTTTGTTAGTGCGGGGAGCGTACTTCATATGGTGGACGTACCCCATAAGTTTACCTTTTTCATAAAACACTTTCTTCGTTGGGTCTTGTATCTTCCATGTGCCCCAACAATTCGCTTAAATCTTTTATGATGTGCCGATTTCTCTTTTTTCAACGGTGTAATGAAGTAACCTTGCGTTGGTGTTACTGCTCTCAAGAATTTTCCATGACTCCTTATCCACGTAAAGATCAACTAGCTGCATGTATTGATGTTGCTCAAGAAGTGGCTTGTCTATCGCAAAGCCTAGTAGATACTTGATAACATCCCTCACCTCCGGGTAAAAACACTATTCTGAATGTCTCTTAGGTTGGTGATCATGAACAACCATTATACTTTAGGATGACTATTAAACAAATTAACAATAGTGGATGGATCAAGCTAAAAGAATATCCCTAAAATCGTAGTAATTAAGACAATATGATTGATAAAAGAGGTTGATACTATAATGGTATAATGGCTTTAATTAGCGCAAATATATAGTTATAATCCTAATTTGTATCCTGCTTGGAAATGGACTTATTAAGCTTACCAATTTGGTAACTCATAGAAATTTGAATTTTTTTCTTTTCCATAGTTTTTCTTTTCGAAACAGGAAAGGATTTACATTTCTGCTACGTATACCAAATTTCAAGATATAGTTTTACTAATAACAACTACATTCATATGAATTCTCCATATCATTTTACCATCATACAAATTACTTGCAAGAGAACATTTTAGAAAAAAACGCAATTAAGCCAGCCTTCCTTGCACACATTTGTTCTACAATTCTCAACAACACACACTGTACTTCACTTTTCTACTTCATTTTCAAAACAAAAACACGAGTTGTATGATACAAAATAGTTGGCAAATGCAATATCTGTACAATGGATCAATATTTTGGCTTAAGCTAGTTCAAAGGGAGAACAATTGCTCAAGAAGATCATCCATTGAGGAGGAAGGAGATCACCATCTCCTTAACACCAAGGGTGTAGGACTTCGCGGATTGCAAATGAGTAAATGCCTAAAATAGAAATATCACCTTCAATAGCTACTTAGGAGAAAAATTATTCAAACATAAAATGATTTGAAGTAATAATTTTATCAATAATGAAAGTTAAAATATGAAACACCTAAAATAAAATTTTCTTTTATACTAGATGGTTGATGCTCGTGTCCAACAACAATAATGTGCAGAAAGAAAAGTAGACTAGCAATAATATGCGGAAGGAAAGACATATATTGATCAAATGTAGATACATTATAACGCGAAGATGTCATCAGCACCTTTGTAGGTGTTGGTGTATTACTTTGAAAATTGAAAAGGTTGATTTGCAAGGTTTTGTGGCCTAGAGAAGAGAGACTACATGAGTTTAGATTACATATAGGAAACCGATAATAAATTTCATTGTATAAAAAACAAAGCCAAAATTGTATCGAATCTAATGGAATGGGTAGTAATGACTTGTATAGGCAAATGTGCAGGTAACTTTTTTTAATATAGCATTCTTCATATGACATCTTCAAATAACAAGTTCTACTCTAAATCGAATGACCTAATGAATAAATATGTAACTTTATTTTATAATCGAATGACCTAATGATAAAATCGATTCAAACTTTATTTTATCTTCACTCATTAAGTCTCCATATCGATTCAAAATCCTATTCCCTCGAAAGAACTTGGGGAGAAAAAAAACATCTTTGTAACTCTAATGGTAATGAACATGTGCTTATGTAATCGAAATGTTGTTAGTATAACTACTACGCAGCGTATGGTTTATATTTGCAAGATCAAATATGCCACTCCAATAAGATTTTGAAGAGGAAAAAAGTTTTTACAACCACAAAAGCAGCAACCTACTAGGACCAGAGTACGCTAGAAGAAGAAACAAACCAAGAAAGAGCTGCTAAATTATTATTTTTCAACCCAACCCCGAGAAGATTAACAGTGTACTAACTTCTGTTACTTTAAAAAAAAGAATGAATACAACTTTTTTACTTATTAAATTCGGTTTAGGATTCCTTTTTATCAATTAATGTTACTTGACTTTGAAGAATCATATGTGGGCGATAATTCTGAAATCAAGCTAACGAAAATTAACTTTATGTTTAGGAGTTTCTCCAATTAATTTATTAATGTAGAATATAAAATCAAAATTATTTATCTATACTACCTTAAAGCATGAACTCTCTAATCCGTTGTTTGGTAAATAAAAATAGAAAGAATGTCATTTTTCCTCTTCGAAAAAGGAAAGGATTTATTAATTTATTCGGTTTCCTAATTTGATTAGGAAAAGAATAATCACACAGACGTTCCGTTCCCTATATATACGGCAGCAGCAGCATACTATTCAACTTACAACATTCTTCTTCAAAACCTAACTTCGTAACGTGGAGAGTTCACTTTTTTTTTCTTTGTTTCCAGAATCGATCGTACTCTTGTTCATGGCTACTCTTGCTGCTTCTTTCTTAGTAGATCTGGACGAATTGTCGGATAACGAAGAGACTCCATCATGGATAGAGGAACATGATGGAGAATTGGATGATATTTTCAAACTGCAAAATTCATATTGCTACATTGACGTTATGCACAGAGTTGAAGATGCCCTAAGTTGTGATCGTAAGCCTAAATTAGGTGATTCAGAGTATGATGCTTTGATAATAGACTGTAATGCATTATCAATCGATATTGAGAATGAAATTTTTATAATCCACAATTTTATACGCGACAAGTACCGATTGAAATTTCCTGAATTGGAGTCACTTGTTAATCACCCAATTGATTATGCTCGGGTAGTTAAAAAGATTGGGAATGCAATGGACATGACCTTAGTTGATTTGGAAGGATTATTACCCTCAGCTGTTATCATGGTTGTCTCTGTTACCGCGTCTACTACCAGTGGCAAGCCATTGCCACTAGACGTTTTACACAAGACGTTGGAAGCATGTGACAGAGCTCTTTCTATTGATTCAGCAAAGAAAAAAGTACTTGATTTTGTTGAGAGTCGAATGGGATTTATCGCTCCCAATCTTTCTGCTGTAGTTGGGTGTGCAGTTGCTGCTAAACTTATAGCTACTGCTGGTGGTCTCTCGTCCTTGGCAAACATCCCTGCTGATTGCATCAAGCTTCTTGGTGCCAAAAGGAATACTAATAATTTAGCAGGGTTCTCAACAGCCAAGTTTCATCACATAGGAGGTTGTTATATTGAGGAAACTGATATAATTCAGAGTACACCTCCTTCCTTAAGGAAGCAAGCGTATGGACTGTTGGCAGATAAATCTATATTAGCAGCCCGTATGGACTCAGCCAGAGGAGATCTGACTGGGCAATATGGAACATCTCTTAAGGGTATTATTCTTGAGAAGATAGAGAAATTGCAAGAGTTACCTCCAGCAAAGCAACCAAAGCCTCTTCCAGTTCCATTAGATTCAAATGCTTATAAGAAAAAGAGAGGCGGTAGTCGGAAGAGAAAGATGAATAAGAGATATGAGATTACGGAGAGGCAGAAGCTAGTAAATAGGATCAAGTTTGGAGTAGCTGAAGAGAGCTCTTTAGGAGATGGATTAGGGCAGGGCTATGGCATGCTTAGTCAAGCAAATGGAATTGGCAAGTTACGTCTATCAGTTATTAAGAAGAAATTCAAAAGCAGCAATACTAGTACTCGTGTATACTCAGGCTTGACTTCAAGTTTGGCCTTCACTTCAAGGGATCGAGCTATCAAATCCTGATCAGGCCAAGCATGCAACCAGAAGTCGTAGCACCTATTTCTCTGAAACTGCAACATTTTCCAAGATTAAGACAACATGAAGCAAGTACTTTTCTTGCCTTCTTAGATTCTTTTTTTCTTTGTGATGTGAATGTTCTTGACTTATTGAGCATTTATGAAACAAGTTAGCAGAATGCACTAGAGAATATAACTTTTTCACCTTTTGCTAATTAATACTCTTAATTAGATGTATGTCACTTCTGATAATTAACTCCAAGAATAAATTTAGCAACTTTCTAATTTTACATGACAATTCTTTAATAAAAGCAACGGACGCACTCTTCTAAAGGTTGGATCTTTTACACAGATTACAGAAAAATGGACAAAACAACAGAAACACACTTGAAAGTTTAAAACAACAGTCTGAAAGCATGAGCAGATGATAATAAAACATTTCAGTACATAACCAAGTTGATGATAATAAAACATTTCACCCTTCACTCTTCGTTCAATTTAGGAACTTGAATTTTTTTTATTTTTCCCTTTTTTTAACATTAGGAAAGGATAATCATATAAATATTTCCTAGTATATATAAAAGAAGGCAGAGGAGTATGATTCCTTGTTCAAAACCTACTTTCCTCTGGAAATATTGGACAATAAACCTGTTACCTCTTTTTGTGCTCAAAATTCCATATCGAAGGACAATAATGTCAACTTCTTTCATCTTGGTGCAGCGCTTGATGTAGATAATATTCTCAAGCTGCAAAAATCATGTCACGACATTGGGATGAAATAACAAGTTAATAATATATATAGAGATAAGAATGGAGACGACAAACTTAGACTCTAGAAGAAGAAGAGAGGGCAGACATTTTTTCTTCAATATTTCCGTTGTAATTTCCAAAAAATGCAGGGCTAACTTCTTCTTAAAATGATTCCAATCAAAATATTATTTGTTGCGAAACATCCAACAGAACCACTCAAGGGCCTCAGGGAAGGAAGAGGTAGCCAGTGTTCCTCAAAGAAGCCTAGGAAATTGAAGTAGCACTCTGCCCTATAAATCTAGTCCTCTGGATTAGCGTCGCCACTAACAGCCCATTTAGATTGGCTTAAAAACGAGAGTAGTTTTTAAATAAAAAATAAAAAGTAAATGACTTTTAAATAAAAAAAATATAAAGTTATTTTAAACTTATTTTAAATTATTTTTTATTTATTTTAAGTCAGTTTTAAGTCAAAAAAGGACTTAAAAGTAGGATTGATCAACTTTTAAATCAATCCAAACACCCTCTAAATCGATCTAAAACAACTGCTTCCATTAGAGTACGTCAATGAAAGCACCAACAAAAATCTGCTACTATAGTTTGGACTTTGCCTATCGATATTTGTTAATGTTAATACTTAGGATGTGTTTGGTATGGAGGAAAACATTTTCTGAAAATGTTTTTCAATTTTTCCATGCTTGGTTGGCTTAAAATATTTGGAAAATGTTTTTCAAATCAATTCATTTTCCTCGAATTAAGAAAAAATGACTTCCCTTCCAAAATTAAGGAAAACATTTTCCAAAACTCTACTTCATCCTTTAATTTTTTTTCTTACCATAACCCAACTCTCCCTATTCAAAAAAAAATTAAAATTATCAAATATATTTTCATTCCTACCGCCAAAACTCCCCCCCCCCCCCCAACAAACAAAAAAATAAAAAAAAATAAGAATTATTATTAAAAAATATTTCAAATTTTAAGATTTTTTTTACTTCACTCATCCCCTATCCACCCCCACCCCCACCAAAAAATAATTGCTTTTGAAAAATTCAAATTTAATTTTTTTTTTAATTTTTATGCCACTCCACCCGGCACCCGGCACCCCCACTCCCTCGCTACCCCCATCAATTTTTTAAAAAAATCATTTTTTACGCCACCCTATCCCTAAGCCCCCCCCCCCCCCCGCCATTTATTTTTAAAAAAAATTATTTTTAGAAAATATTTCAAATTTAATTTTTTTTAAATTTTTATGCCACCCCTACCACCACCACCCCACCCACCAAGGCCATTTCCGTCAAAAAAAAAATTAAGGAAAAAATATTTTTGGAAATATTTCAAATTTAAAAAATATTCATTTTTTATGCCACCTCCACCCCTATTCCCCCCCTCCCCCGGCGACCCCGTCAAAATTATTTTCTTAAAAAAATTATTTTTGAATTTTTGGGTCAAATCTCAGGATCGGATTTTGGAACGGTCATCGGGGTCTTGTCCTAGTTTGAGTGTCGGGGTCGAGTCCTAAATCAATTATCGGAGTTGATTTTCCAATCAGAAATTATTTTCCTAAAGAGCATTTTTAGTCTCAAGCAAAAAAAATAATGAAACTATTTTTCATTTACCAACCAAACATTAAAAAATATTTTCTATTCTCCAACCAAACATAAGAAAACAAGTAAAAAATGCACTTATTTTTCAAAAAAAAAAAAATCTAAAAAAACATTTTCCTTCATACCAAACACACTCTTATTATTTACTCAATGTAAGAAGTAAGAAATTGAACCTAACCTATAGTCTCAAAACATCACTGTGCTGCATCACACATTATTCTTCTATAAGTATTTTAACTTTTTCTCATCACATGAATTATTTATTAGAGATAGTTAATTCTGCTTATCTCAATCAAGAACATTTATATTATGGATCATTGATATTATTTATGATTATTTTAGTTTATCAGTATAGGATGTGCTATGAAGTAATGAAACAAGATTTGTTGGGATTAATTATGCAGTGCTTTAATTTAGTTCTTCGCAGAAAATAAAGGGCTAATTTATTATAGTTTTGACTAAATAAATTCATCCATCTATATCTATATTGTTTTAAAAAGTATGAAGGTCTTTGTAAATGTTGATTGAAATTTTACTATTCAATTAAAGACTTTATAATAGACAAAATTATAATTAATTATTTTCTTCAAATTATTACTAATTATCTGTAAAATATTTAAAATTAAGAATCAAAAACGTAAAATATATAGCAAGAAAAAAAATATGGTAAGAAGCATAAAGACAATTAATAATTTAGGAAACCTAAAATATAAGGTAAGAAAAAAAATATTTGAAAAATCAAAAAGTCCTAAAATATACGATAAGAGCTATTAAAATCTATAACAATTTTATTCACTTATAACAATTATCTTTTTTCTTAAATTACTTAATTATCCATCACAATTATATTTTTATAATTATAAACACTAATAAACTGTTTTTAACAAAATTAAGAAACTAACTTCTGTTACTTTTTAAAATAAAGGAAAATAAAAATTACATCTTATCATTTATCCTTAATAACATAAGCATAAATTGATGACTGTAAAAATACACATCAGGATTTGTAACATAAGCAATGGCGTTAGTGAGCCACTTAACATGAGCAAAGTACACAAATATTTAATTGTGAAGAAGAAGAATAGGTTCAGAATTTTCGTTGTTTTAGAATGATAGAAAATACTTCTATTTATAGACAACAAAGGGTAGTGTAAACATTTTTTTACTGTACCTTATCAGAAAGGTTACAACTATTTGAAAATGTTACAATCCTTCGAAAAGATTACAACCTTTCATAAAAGTCACAACTTTTCATAAAAGTAACAACTTTTCATTAAAGTTGCAACTTATCATAAAAGTCACAACATTTAATAAATGTCACAAATTTTCATGAAAGAGAAAGGCTAGTTTTGAAATTAAATAAATTAAAAGGAAATTCTTGTTTGTGGTAGCGCCACGTAGGCGGGCCTAAGATTCTCTTTTATATATATATATATATGATTATCTGTAAAATATTTAAAATTAAGAATCAAAATCGTAAAATATATAGCAAGAAAAAAAATATGGTAAGAAGCATAAAGACAATTAATAATTTAGGAAACCTAAAATATATGGTAAGAAAAAAAAATTGAAAAATCAGAAAGTCCTAAAATATACGATAAGAGCTATTAAAATCAATTACAATTTGATTAATTTATGACAATTATCTTTTTTATTAAATTACTTAATTATTCATCACAATTATATTTTTTATAATTATAAACACTAATAAACGGTTTTTAACAACATTAAGAAACTAACTTTTGTTACTTTTAAAAAAGAATGAATACAACTTTTTTACTACTTATTAGATTCGGTTTAGGATTCCTTTTTATCAATAATATATTACTTGACTTTGAAGAATCATATGTGGGCGATAATTCTGAAATTAAGCTAACGAAAATTAACTTTACGTTAGGAGTTTCTCCAATTAACTAATTAATGTAGAATTTTAAAATCAAAATTATTTATCTATACTACCTTAAAGCATGAACTTTCTAGCCCGTTATTTGGTACAACTAATTTGAATATATATTGCGCAAAATCCATTAAAAAGAAAAATACATATAAACTATAAATATGTATAAATGACTAATTAAAGTTTGTTTGAATTAACTTAATTTAAGTGTTAAGCTAAAAAATATTTATGTATTTTTAAAGTATTTGGGCAAAATAAGAAGTGTTTCTAAACACTTGTTTTAGAATCTATCTGGATTGGTTTCTCGCTTATAATTTATAAGCCAAAACTCATAAGTTAGAAATCTCATTTTGACTTATTTTGTTATTTTAAAATATGTGCTTGTAAGCATTTTTAATTTTTTTTTTATCCAACTACTACAAAATTGCTTTAAAACACTTAAAATTAATCAATTCAAAAGATTTTTAAAGTAAAAAAAAAAAAAAAGCCAAAAGTTTTTGACTTATAAGCTAAAAAAACTACAAGTATATCCAATATCAATAAGAACCCGTAAGTATTTTCCAGAAAAAAGTATCACAAAAATTAGTTCCCAAAACTAACAACTAATAAGCAAACACTTAAAATTCTTTTTGATATTTTTCAAATGATCTATATGTATCAGAATTGTTGATTTTTTTTTTCCCGTAATAAAAGTAACCACTAAACAAGAATAGGTAATCAATATCACAAAAAAATGATTTTTTTTCTTGAAGAAAGTGATTAAAATCAACAAAAACTTAGAAAGATTTTTCGGACAATATGTAATCGTCAAAAAATTGATTTTTTGTCAATAAAGTAACAACTAAACAAAAATATTGGGGGTTATATAATACAAACGAGTGCAGTAGATTTCTAATTTCATGGTTAAAAACGTACAATATAATTATTCATGGACTATTGAAAGAATTATATCTCAAATACGGCCAACTCATTTTTCGTATTGTAGAACAACTATGGTAATTTCGTTATCTCAATTTAACCTTTTCTCATCACATAAATTATTTATTGGAGATCGTTAATTGTGCTTATCTCAATCAAAAATTATATTATGGATCATTGATATTTTTTGAAAATAATTATTTTCAGCATATACGTGTAATTATCAACGTAGAATATGCTTTAGAGTAACGAAGCAAGATTTGTTGGGATTAGTCATGTGGTGCTTTAATTTAGTTCTTTGCGAAAAATAAAGGGCTAATTTATCATAGTTTTGACTAAATACATTGGGTTTTATGTTTCATTGACAACATCTATCCATCCATCTAAATCTATATTACTTTAAAAAGTATGAAGGTCCTTATAAATATTGATTTATTTTTTTACTATTCAATTAAAAACTTTATAATAGACAAAATTGTGATTTACTATTTTCTTATTATTAATTATCTTTATAATATTTAAAATTAAGAATTAAAGTCCTAAAATATATGGTAAGAAAAAAAAATATGTGATAAGAAGCATTAGGAAAATTAATAATTTAGGAAACCTAAAATATATGGTAATTAAGGGGAAAATATATTTGAAAAAATAAAAAGTCCTAAAATTTATGGTAAGAGCTATTAAAATCTATAACAATTTTATTCACTTATAACAATTATCTTTTTTCTTAAATTACTTAATTATCCATCACAATTATATTTTTATAATTATAAACACTAATAAAATGTTTTTAACAACATTAAGAAACTAACTTCTGTTACTTTTTAAAAAATTGAATACGACTTTTTATTAGATTTACTTTAGGTTTAGGATTCCTTTTTATCAATTAATGTTACTTGACTTTGAAGAATCAAATGTGGGCAGTAATTTTGAAACACCACTGAGCTGACGAAAATTAACTTTACGTTTAGAAATTTCTTAGAATTTATTTTCTCAATTAATTTACTGATATAGAAAAGCATGAATTTTTTAACTCGCTGTTTGGTACACTTGATTTGGATATATATTGCGCAGGATTCATTAAAAAGAAAAATAGGTTATTTTACACTTCCAATAACAAAAGAAAACAATTATGAGCTAAACCAATTCATCATTTGATCTTATTATTTAATAAGCAAGCACAATTTGAGAAAGAAAAATAATATGGCACATAATATTTGATCATAACTAATAAACTATAATATATGAGTAACGATATTTTACAAACAACTTGTAACTTTATTAAATTAATAAGTAGCTAACTATATCACAACATCTACTAAAAGAAGTCATATTCATCAAGATTGATATCGTTTGCATCATTCTTTGATATTTCATTATCTTCTGAATTCATACATTCATCCTCCAATGCAGCAAGAAAGTCATCTCCAACATCCACCTCTATATAATCATCATCAATCTCTTCTAATTCTTCCATAACCGAATCGATTAATTCATTAACTTCAACATCATTCATAATATTCTCATATTTTCCCTTATCATCATGATCACGCCTTTGTTTCTTCTTCTTGATCTTACAAATTACAAAATCTTTATATATAATTTTCTTCTTCATATTAGTAACATAACCATTATCCAAAGAGTATTCGGTCATCAACCACTCGCCGAATAACTCCTTGATTATTGACTTTTTGTTAGTATCGGGAGTGTACTTCATATGATGGACATACCCCATAAGTCTACCTCTATCATCAAACACTTTCTTCGCTAGGTCTTGTATCTTCCATGTGCCCTCCCCAACAATTCGCTTAAATCTTTTATGATGCGGCTTCTCTTTCTTCAACGGTGTAATGAAGTAACCTGCATTGGTGTTAGTGCCCTCAAGAATCTCCCATGGCTCCTTTTCCGCGTAAAGATCAACTAGCTGCATGAATTGATGTTGCTTAGGAAGTGGCTCGTCTATTGCAAACCCTAGTAGATACTTGATAACATCGCTCTCCTTGGGTAAAAATTATAGCTCTCTGAATATCTCTTTGGTTGACGATGATGAATAGCGGTCATTATACTTAAGTGATGAATATTAAACAAATTAACAATAGTGGATGAATCAAGCTAAAAGAATATCCTTAAAACCCTAGTAATTAAGTTGTATAAGACAATATGATACTATAATAGTTTAATAGCTTTTAGCGCAAATATATAGTTTTATAAATGATGTAATCCTTATTGGAAATGGACGTATTAAGTTTACAAGTTTGGTAACTCGAAAGTTTTTTGTTTTCGAAAAAGAAAAGGATTAAGATTTATGTAATTTAGGAAACCCAAAATACATGGTAATTAAGAGAAAAATATATTTGAATAATCAAAAAGTCATAAAATTTAAATTTCCAGTAAGAGCTATCAAAATCTATAACAATTTTATTCACTTATAACAATTATCTTTTTTCTTAAATTACTTAAATAACCATCACAATTGTATTTTTATAATTATAAACACTAATAAACTTTTTTTTAACAACGTTAAGAAACTAATTTCTGTTACTTTTTAAAAAAATTGAATACGACTTTTTATTAGAATTACTTTAGGTTAAGGATTCCTTTTTATCAATTAATGTTACTTGACTTTGAAGAATTAAATGTGGGCGGTAATTTTGAAACACCACTGAGCTAACGAGTTAAAGTAATGGGATCTCTTATTGTGCGATTTTAGGAAACACTCTCTTTAGCTCTTAAAGAGTTAAAGTAAAAGGTGTCAGTATAAAAATTATAATTTTGAAATACAAATGATATGAATTTGAGCAATATCTTTAAGTACATTTTTTCATTGTCTTGACGTGAGAAGAAAGGTAACTTGTAGTTTTTTTTATTGCTTTTGAATATATAAATTCTAATTTTAAAATATTAAACAAACCTAATCTAATTTAGTAAAAAAATGAGTCAAATTGACTTTAAAAAAAGTGAAAGTCCTCACATAAATGGCATAAAGGGAGTGACTCCTTTTCTTTTCCACAGATGAATTCAAGTTCAACTATTTCTTTTGTTTTGTTTTCTACTCGTGTATGATACATATATTGGGACTTAAATAATTTAAATTTGTGTCATGTAAGACTTAACTATTAAGAGAAAAAAATGTTTCTTGCCGAGAATTTTTTTCATAGAATTTAAACTCGAAATATCTTATTAGGTAAAAAGATCTTATTCATTTCACTACAATCAATCTAGTAGTCAAATTTAGTTTATTAAATATTTATAAATATCTGATTAATACCAATTATTATAAGTGTAATGCTATTTATAGAAGGCCACTACATGAATTCATAAATTCCAAATGTTGATCTGCTATTGAATTTGTCAATATGATATGAAGCCATTAAAAATATCTACACATAAGACTCTTTAAATTAAATATAAGATAGATACCACACAACATCTTTTATATATATACATATAGGTATAATCTACGCTATAATTATAATTTGTACGCTAAGTATAGCTCCATAAAAAAATTAAACTCCAATATAGTTAATGTGAAAATATACACCCTTGCCACAACATTGCACAAAATGTATGTATATGTATATATATTAACAAAGGAATATTATATCCAGACAATAAAATTTAATTAATTACATATGAGGGGTTGCCTTGGATAAATATATGCATAAACAAATGGGAAAAATTTAATATATGATAAACACAAACATTTTAGCTATCAAAATAGATAGAAGGATCAATTGATCCAATTAATTAAAGGATAAAATTTAATTAAATGTAATTTATAATACTTAGGGGAGAGAGGGCACTTTTTTTTTTTTATATTATGATTCTTGTGATTCCTCTGCATTTTCAGGCACTTTATTATTATCATCATTATTATTCTCTTCTGTTGATTTATTTTCAACAGCATTATTTTCATCATCATTTAATGGTGTTACAGCAGCACTATTCTTTTTGTTATTTGCAGCTTTGAGGACATGTTGGTAATTTCCTTTTTCCATGAAGAGTTGAGCAAAATGATGCTTGCAATACAAGTTTCCATCAAGGGATGCATATGTTGCATGGGTAAGTGCACAACCTCCATGTGCACACTTGAAACATGATTTGTGGAATGATTCTCCTTCCATTGTCACCTATAATTCAATTTTGAAATAGTCAGAGTTTACGTTTTGTGCATTGATAATATATACGAAAGCATTAAGTTATAAATTGACTTATAATAATGTATAATTTTTCATAAAAAGTCGGATATAATAGTTAGCTAATCAGGAAACATAGCAATAACATTTTATGGAAAGAACAATTCGATTCACAAAATATTCCATATTCACAAGGGAGGTATGAGGAAGGGTCACATTCTAAGAAGATGTAATGTTGACAATTTATGTTAACGTAAGAATTAATGATTAATTCCACCGTATATATATACACTATAAACAGATAGATTATAGCTTTGTATATTGCAAAATTTTTCCATACCATCGAGTATATATAATTTAAATTCATTCATTAAAACCATAAACTCTACCTGTGTAAGCAAAGCATATATAGTCGGTTCAATTAGTTCGAATAAAGGAAAAAAGTTGTGATAGGTTGAAGGTAGGTCGATGAAATACTTTGAGGAGTTGAAAATTAGTATAGATTCGGAGATTTTCGAATTGTGAATGAATTGAGATTAATTGATCATGAATAAACCTTTTTTTTTTAAAAAAACAAAAAACAATTAATTAATGGTTTAATATTTGTACCTTTTCAAGTGGGTAAACAGTTTTGTCACAAGCAGCACATTTATCTTGGGTTCCAGAGAACATAGCTGAAAGTTTGCTTGGAGCTCTTGTCTGCACAAAATATATAATTAATTGTTAGCTAAAAATATTCGAGAAACAAATTTATTTTTTGTAAGAAAAACATATATTTTTTGAAATGTGTAGTTGTGAACATACCAATGAATTTTGCCTCTCAGACTTAGCTGCTGAAATGTTAATAATTAAGAACAATGTAGATTATTAGTAAAAATTAAGATAAAAGAGGCTTAACAAAAATTAATTTAAAAAATTAGGATGTCTTACGATTCTGAAAATTCTTGCTAAAATTTCCCGATTCCTTAAATAGTTGTTCGAAATGAGTCTTGCAGTACAAGATTCCATCCATAGAAGAGTAATTGCTCATCTGTCAAAAAATTAATAATTCCAAATTATCAAATATATATTATGAATAAATGTAATAACAGAAATAAGAAACACAAAAATAATGGGGATTTAATGATGGATGACAATTTAATTTCTTTAACAACTTGATCTCTTATAAAGCCAAAAAGTTACATAACTTGCATTCAAGAATATGTGCCTTCAATATATATATAAGAATAAAAATGGTCTAATTATAATATCTCCTCTAAATGTTAATAAATAATTTACACAATTGATAATAAATAAAATTCGGGATTGTGGTATAGTTGATCGATTGTTGTTTAGCGGAAGGGGAGGGCGAGGCCAAGTGAAATCAGAAATTTCGTCCAAGTATGTTCAAAATTTAACATATATGCATAAAAAATTGAAAAATATTTTTTTATAGATATGCAATATATTTTTTTCTATGCTAAATATAATTTTCCGATTAAAGATATTTAACTTATTACCCTTTTGTATAGCTCGTAAGGACAAGAACAAAGATGGAGTTAGGTAGCTAGGGTCCTATTCAATTGACCATCATTCTTCGAATTATTTTGAATTTCCTTAATGAAAATCAGGAGTACGCGCATAGAATTGAATAGTAAATATGTAAAGAAAATAGGGATACATACCACAAGAGTGCCTTTGCAGTGGCTACATTTGAAGCATGATTTATGATAAGTAACACCATCAGCAGACAACAAATCAACAAAATAAACAGTTTTATCACAAGCTGAGCATTTATCCAATGTTCCTGTGAATGCCATTATTGTATATTTTTTTAAAAATCTTTTTTTATATATAAAATAAATAAATAAATAATTATATTCACAGAAGCCTGAAAATCTTCAATCTCAATAACTATTCAGAGTTAGAAATATGGCAGAATAAAAAAAGAAATTTGTACAACAAAAAGTTGTTCTGCCTTTTTTTTTATATTCTAACCTGTTTTGTTATTGAGATTAAAGAAACAAAAAAGGCACCCTCTCTATCTCAGTTTGTAATACACAAATTTTGAGTTACTTTTCATGTGCAAAATAATTACTATAACCCCATAATTCAATGACACGTGATTGGGAGATCCAAATAATAGGAGTTTAAATTTTTTATTTTTATTTCTTTACCTCTCAAATAGGATGGATGTAATTATCTTGGATTTGAGTGAAATTAGGCTCTAATTTGACTCTTTCCCATCACTAATTTAAATTTTACTCTTCTATTGGCCCTTACAAAGGTGTACTCGACCTCTTCTAACCTCATTTGTGGGACGACAATGTGTGCATATTCAAAAGAATAGATAACATTGAAATTTTCTTAAAATAAAACTTTTATACTTGTAATTACCTTATAACTTAGGTAATTTGATTTAGTAAATATTTTTTGGGTCATCATAACACTCAATCCATAAAATATTTTCCTTATAAAAATAATGGGACTTTATAGATATTCATCAAACATTATGTAAGGTTGAGAAAATTAACTTTACATCGACAATTTTTTTTTATAAAAGATCACTTGATAGAACAGATTAAGTTTTATTGTGAAGCAATCGTGGCAATTCTAATAGTATTAAATCCCAAAGAAATTTGTAACCTCAGCAATGCTTTGAATTCATGGAGTGATAAATACATTGGTACAACTACCATTACTTGTGCAGATCAACAAGAAAAAAAAGTAGAAATAATTGGTGTAACAACCAATTATACAACATTCTCAATTATTAAAATTACAGATAAGCGACACAACATATTAATCATTGTAATTAATTATTAATTAATGGGGATTATATCATTGTTCAGTTAACTGACAGGTATATATGTCTTGCCTTAATAAAATGCTAAGTTGTTTTCAACGTGCCTTAACATCATTGACAAGAATTAACCACTGCCGTTAATGGCAAACTGCTTCATTTCTTCGAATTTATTTGAACATTTTGTTGTCGTTTTAACTTTTTGTACTTTAGTTTGTCTAAAAAGAATGTTGCGGTTCATAATACGAACTTACTAGGGTAGAAAATCATCTAGCGGTTTGAATTCAAACTTCTTTAAAAAATATTTATATAAAGCTAAATCACTATTTGTTTAGAGTTAAAATGTTTGAACAACTCGAGTTAAAAAAAAAAAAAACTCTCTACTTTTCAAATATTTAAATATGTCATCCTTTTTGGAACGGATGAGTAGCTGTTTATGTTGGACAATCAGATATTTAAAATGTCTTTTTCCTGATTTTGTTTTGGCTTTCTCACTCTAAACGAAATTGATTACAAACCAGATTATTTTTTTAAAAAAAAAAAGGGTTTTCAACTCTATTTCTATGATTGAAAATTATGTCCCTCGTCAAATTCAGTGGAGACAAAAATACTAGGTGATTCTTCCTATTTGTCTTAGTCTTGGTGGATTGAGTTACTCGATACTTGTTGCTGGTGGAAAGTGGCAGCTACCCCATAGAGTTAGTCAATATGCGAGAAAGCTGACTCAAACACCACAATCAAGGAAAAAAAAATTTTAAAAAAAGTATGCCCCTTGTTCCAAAAATACATAAAAATGTTGAAAATGAGTCGAAAGGAAAATGAAACTTGGTCAAAAGGGGGATTTGTTTCGACAAATTCCTAGGAACAGTTGGAAAATTAGCCAACACCACACTTGTACACATGTTTTTGTGTGTGCATGCGTATAAAGTAAACAATTTACAAGGTAAAATATACCTTCATAGATTATGTAGGAAAAGTGAAAAACTAGAAGCATATACCTACTGGCTACTAATTGTTTCATAACCAAAAGATTAGCTTTGTACTTTATGTAGGAACACAACAACAAGAAAACAACGACGATAACATCTCAAATTCAAGCAAGTTAGATGTATGAATTCTCATAAACCATATCGCTTCAATAAAGCTAATCTTCGTCTAATATTATATAACTATATGGATAAAAATAAAATGCCTTAGAAGTTCTCTATATTTTGTGGCATGTATTCACAGGAACAAAAAGTTAAAAATAATAGCATAGAAAACCTCTAACATGGGCCATAGTGGAGTGTACAATAGGTTTAATTTATTTTTCCAAATAATGAAAAGATATAGCTTTTAGGCTATAGTACAAATAACAACTCTTAAAAAGACAAGAAACAACTAAAAATACCAAACGAAGTGATTAAATTATTCCCCCTAGCCTCATTTTTCTAGGTGAAAACTTGTCGTTTCTCTCTTTTTCATAGACATAAGCACATTCTAAATATCCACTTGGTTATTATAAGAAGCAGAGACTGCAGAAGATTCACTAATATCTTGGCTCATGGATGCTACAATATCAAAGGAAAATGGTGCAAGATCAAGAAGTTTTCGTAACGAAGACTACAATAACAGAAGAGTGTTCCTGAGGAGCTATCCACTTCACTGGGGAGATTCAGTGGAAGATGGAGAAAACAAAGAAGAGGAGGCTGCAACAGTAATGCCAAGAAGTGAAGAGAAGAGTTTCATGAAGAAAATATTTATAGCAGTTTTCCATTGGAAAGGAGAAAGAGCTTTAATCTTTCGAAGGCTCAAGCATAAGGTCACTGTTTACTTCATTACTTGTCTTCCTGTTGGATTCAAAGCTCCTACAGCAATGATTTCAGCTTAATATCATTTTGTCTACCATAAAAAACTGCTATCGATAGTTGAAATTCCACCTATTTTACTAAAGCATATATCGTTCACAGTTATGTGTTCAATTTGAGTACAACTGAAAGGCATGTACAGAAGAGTGGAAATAGTAAGATGGATGCTAAATTGCTAACTTAAATAGAAATGTGTACCTTGGTCTTATGTACCTGAACAAGCAAACCTCCCATCTGCTTATAACTGACCTGTTAAATTAGTTCAAACTGCCACAAATAGCTTAAGAACTCAGAAAAGTGCACAAGTTAATAAGCGTAGCTATAAATGCAAACGTGATTTATTTGATGCGTTGATTGATAATTTCAACAATTATTATGTTTTTGTTGGATTACAGATCAACCATAAAACTAATTTTGTAAACCTTTCTACTTACCGTGCCTGTTGTGCACCAACAAATTCTGATTCTGTACCTGTGACATTCATGGCTTTCACAAAGAGTAAAAAACTCTGCAACAGTAATTTTATTTCAGAATAAAGAGTTCGGATAACTTGTTTATGAACATGTATTGGTACTACAACATACTTTATTTCAAAAACAAATCTTCAGTTTCTGATATACTCCAACTTGTAGCTAGGTTAGGAGCTTGTCCCCACCCCACTGTCAATATCACCTCCCAGGATAAAGAAAATGGAGTCAGTGTGTCTTTTCCAGTCTTGCCATATGTTCAATTACAGAGGCAATAATACTTTCTGGCACAATATGAGATCAGAGAGAGTCTTTCCATGCCTATCGATTCTCCTTGAGCAGTTCACACCCCCATCTAGGATATTACGAACCACTATATTCAAAGAATGGATCCCCCTGACTTCATAAATCTCCACTTCAACATGTTCACTGACCCATTTGTCTCTTCGTTCAATATCATCAGAAGTGGGAAATGAAGAGGGATTAAGAAGACTTGAGACAACTTTTTTCACCCATTCTTGAGTTACAATCTTCTTAAGCCTTTCAATATCTGGAGGAAAATATGGGATAAGGGAAAAGTTTATATCATCCCCTTTATCACCAGCTCTGCTATGTGCAAAATCATAAAGAGGAATCTTCCTGTCATGTGGAGCAGGGGAGATCAGCTCAATTTGCGGTGAACCTTCTTTGTGACTCAAAGTAGTTTCCATTGTAAGTGATTGCAAGACTGAATCATGGAATGAACTGGTCTCTATTATGTTTTTAGGGCTAACCAGATCATCTGATTGCATAATTTTATTTCTTGTTGCTGTCATATGCCACTGAACATCTTTACGTTTTACCTGAAGATAACAGAGAACTCTTTAAAACTTATTTATACAGTATTAGCAATATAGCATGAAGCAACCATTGAAAGTTCAAATACCACAATGTAGGAGCCACCTCACAATAGGAGAGAACTTTTGTTCTTTTCTGTCAATAGCTATGGGAGAAAAATCTAATAAATTAACAACTACCAAAGTATACATATCATAACACAGAGTATCAATAAAGAGAGAGAATGTCAATCTGTGTCATGCATAAACACACACACACATGAACACACATACGCGAGCACACATATGCACACACACATATATATGAGAGAGAGATGGAGAGATATACCAGTGCTTTCTCAAGAATGATGTCTTTTTTGTGTCCAGTGCTGCCATACAATAAAAGAAGATGTAGAGCATTAATACGTGTCATAGAAATATGTTCTTAACATACGGAAGTATTAAATGAATTGAGGCAGGAATACTGAGACAGCTATCCATATTAAAAAGAAGATAATGTACATGTCATGGAAATATGTTTTGACATAATCTAGAAGGGGAATTAAGTCTAGCAAGAGGAAAACTGGGAGGGGGATATAATGAGAGTCAGAGACACATTCATTATTAACATGAAGTGAAGGATATTACAAGCCTTTGATCATTGGTGACCACGAAAAACAAAGACAGTTCTGCACATGGAAAAAATTCAAAGACACATTATGTAGGTAATGATTCAATATACTCAGATTGATGCTGCATCGAGTTGTAGTATTAAAATTAGGTGCTTGAGTGAAGAAACTGCTCTAGTAAACGACATGCGACGGATATTACAACTTCCACATGGAAGACAACAGTGCAGATCAAATTGCTCATTACTATGAGAGCATATCATACCATGAAGTCCCTTTACCTGATGAGATGGATTCTCCACAAAAGAAAAATCACTATGTAACAGCAATCTCTATGATAGGTATCTAACAGAAAGAAAATTTCCTAATTTTCTAGCTTTCTAATACTAAGAAATACTTCAACAACTTAACTATTGATAAATGAATATAACAGAGAAAATTTAAGGCACCAGCAGTGGCGGAGCCACAGTGCTTGCCACGGATTCGGCAGAATCCAATAGCTAAGGCTCAAACCCTGT